CCCCTAACGATAAAACGGCTAACTTCCCTCATACTAATCAAATCGTCTACCCTTTCAGCATTCCTATATTCGAATAATGGATCTTGACAAATTCAGCTCATTGAATCTTGATGCTGAAATGCTTGTATTCCTTCACACCCTCCTCATCCAGGTATCCATTCCGCCAATCAACACCCCTACCTTTGGTTCTGGACTGCTAGCGGGGGTGGGGCATATCCCCCCCCAGTGATTCTATACGGTCATAGAGCGAAATATAAACGATTTTCACTACATTTTACATGGTTTTTGATATAAAAAATTTGCCCCAAAATTATAATTTTTTATATTATAAATTATATATTATTATCAATTATATATTATATTATATTATTTTTCTTATTTTTATAATTTTGATTGGCTTCTATCAATCAAAAATATTGCTAGAAGCATTCATTTTAGCACCCTCCGATCAGGAATAAGAAACGGATGATTCGCCTGGTTATTACTCACCGTTGGGATTATCGAGGTCCGATTGGTCACTATAATCATCAGGTTCGTAGTACAGCGTTTAAAGTATTTTAATTGTATTTTTATTAAAGTAAACTATATTTCAAGTTCAAAAAATGCCAAAAACAGCTCTTAAAGCGCACGTTCAGGGAGGGGCCGTGTACTCGTCCCAACGTGTACACCCTATGGACGTAGGGAGCGCGCGCACTGCCTGCCCGTGCTGTGACAGGCCATTTCCCTCCTTTGCGGCGTGAGGCGCCCCTCGCCCCCTCACCAGATTGTAGCTGTGGCTGACTGGTATCCATCCGCGCCTCCCGAGCGGGGGTCCCGGGTTCGACCCCCGGCCGCGGCGAAAACCTTTGCTTTTTTCCAAAAAAACGTCCCTGAACGTGCCCTTTAAAAATCGAAATTTTGGCCGAAACATTCATAGTTTTTTATATTAAATCACAAAAATTTGCAAAGGTTTGCACCTAGGTATAGCTCAAAAAAATTATTGGGAACGCTTCAAGTCACAGTAAAGATCACACTACACATAAGTTTTATTATACAGTTTTTCAGCTCTACCGGCGGATGATTGATGGAGGTTTGGTGGTGAACGAATTGAGAAAAATCCCTTTAAACACGGCACAACAAGATGCAATGATATTTGATTATCAACACGAGCCGGGTTGTGCTTCGCCGCCATTCGAAGTATGTCTTTTTGTCTTGTTGTCCATTTATTCAAGCCAATAAGTTTACATCGCGCTCGAAAAACTCTCCCCCAACATCCACCAAAGCCTCGAATTTTTACAATTGACCTTTATCCTCTGTTGAAAGCTTAGAATTTTGGCCGGAACTGTACAGAGTTTCTCAATAAAAAAAACACCCCCCTCTAACTCGACGCAGAAGTATCGGATCGGAATGGTAGTTACATCATTCGAAAGCCCTTGAAACGGCCAGTTTGCAACTATCTTCAAAACCAGCTTTTTATTTAAACGAGCCATCTTACAGCGCATTTAAAAACATTAAGGAACGGCTTTTGCGTTTAATTAACGGCCACTTCCGGTCATTTTGCTTGGAGAAATTGAGGCAAATTGGCCGGTATGTAACCCCGAAAAACTTAAACGTTTTACAAAACGGACGGTAAAGTCGCGAATTTAAATAAAAAGATGGTTTTGAAAATTGTTGCAAACTGGTCGTTTCAAGGGCTTTCGAATGGTGTAACTACCATTCATCAGATACGTCTGCGTCAAGTGAGGGGGGGATGGTTTTTTTGGGACAGGGATAGGTACCCTGTACAGTTTCGGCCAAAACTCTATCATGTGTTGGTTTTTAGGTGATAACTTCGCGGAGCGCTGCAATATTTTCCTGAAATTCTGATCAAAGGTTGGCTAACCTGTAACCTAATTGATGTTGTATTATATTTTTTTTTGGATCTACCATCGGCCCGCAAGGTTTTGTTTTTGATTTTGGGCAGCCGAAAATAGGGTCTCAAATGCCACATTTATCGAAGGATTTTCATATTTCGAAAACATGTCCAGTGTGTTCAGCGTCCTCGAAAACCCCATACTGTAATGTTTATGTAAAATTTGGCGCCGGGACCCTTATTTTCAGCTGGACAAAATGAAACACAAAGCCGTACGAGCCGATGATAAATCGAAAAATCAAGAAAACGCAACATTAATTCGAGTGCACGCACCGTAGCCGACATTCTGCAAATTTCATGGAAACATTGCCGCACTCCGCGAAGTTATCGCTTAGAAACAGAACCGAAACAAGGATATAATTTTGGCCAGAACCGTACTTGGACAAGTTCTGTATGATGTGAATTTAGTGGGGTTGGCAGCGAATCGTTGTGGTTGCACAGAATTATGGCCAAGACATGGCAGCTGTACGAAAGGACTATCGACCGTTGAAGCAGGTCTATCTTCTCCCCGGAAATCCGGAAGAAAGTGTTCCTGTAAATGATTGGCCATTCTTTGCGGGTAACATGCGAATTGAGCGATGAAGAAGTGTTGTCTTCCCCCGCCCCACCCCCACGCTACCAGCCCTCAACCCTCAATCTAGCCCCTTCAACTCCCCAGAAGGTCCATTTCGCCCCGGGAAGATTACGGTATTCTCACATTTTTTGCTTTTTCCGCAACGATTTCAATTTTCTAAAACATTTTCTAGTTTCATTCTTAATTTTATTCAAATTTTTTAAAACACCTTTACGATCAGCACTTTTTGAAAACGGTAGCTCGCTCTGAACTTTTTGCTCTATCGAAGCTTAGCTAGGTCCCGTCCCAAAACTCCAAAAGCACCTAAAAACGACTCATTGTCAGCTGGCCACTTGCCAATTTTAGATGAGACCTGATCTACTCGGGACCTCCTTATCCCTTTAAGGCCCCCCATTCAACCACCACTCTGTGGCCATCATATTATCCAGATGTACAGCGTGAAGCGTCGAGATCCGATAAACTGTTATCTGTTCACACATCAACATACGGTAGAAATGCTACAATACATCCCTGCTCCTTCGAAAAATTACAAATTTAGATTCTATAAAAATTGGTGAAATTGGCAAGTAAATGACGATCGGTGGCAACCATGCCGCTCAAAAGCATAAAAAATGTAGCCCTACCTTTTTTACAATTCTGTTTTTTCCCTATTTTGCAGGTTGCGAAGGGAAATTGCCATAAATTTGGCATGCAAAACTTAAAATGGACCAATTTTCGTTGTTCCCCATACTTTCCTTTGCTACCAAAACGTTTCCAGAATTTTCTTTCACAAATTAGCACCTTCGCAACTTGCGGCAAACAATTTCGAGGTCAAACCACCACTCGCCGATGTGATTCGTCGTGTAAAAAATTGTTTGACCAGGCCTGAACAAAAGCCGCATCAAACAAAATGGAAATCGTGTTAAGCTTTACTTCCTAATTTTGCTTTCCACAACATTGTTTGCCGGTTGTTGGATAAAAAATGCACAAACAACCTTGCGATCAAACAGTTTCTCAACACATTTTCATGAAAAAAAATTGCATTCAAGTCCACTGATAAAACGACCCTACGCAGTGGTTATCACCCCCTTCTTTGGAAGCGCCGAATCAGTGGGGAAATTTCTCGTGCAAGAAATACGTTGCGATTATCTCGTTTATGAGCCGCTGCCGAGACTCACTCGCCGCTTACTTCCAATTGATTTTATTTCGCAGGTCAATCGTTGAGCTATTTTTCAGGATGTCGATGGAACCGCTAGGTCGTGGTGGGTTTGGTGAAGTGTGGCTACTCACCGACACCATCCCGTATGTCAAATTCATCCTCCAGAACTTTGGGCTCTGTTAGGAAAATGGTTATGAAGAAAGCGCTACAAACGGATGATTATGCCGGTTATTTGAGGGAACTACGGACATTGAAGGTTAGATTTATCTCGCCCTCATTCTCCTTCTTTTTGTAGGAACTGGCACATGAGAATGTCGTCAGATATTATGATGCGCCTACGAATTATCCGGGGATCGACCAGAAAGAATGGCTGATATTTATGGAATACTGCGAGCATGGCTCCCTAAAAGATAGTAATTGATTTTCTGATGTAACGCCCTTCTTCAGTTTTGCAAAATAAAGAAATAGAGTATTCATTGGCCACAGTTGCTAAATGGTCGACAGAAATGTTTAGCGGCCTCAAATACATTAAAAGTATGAAAAAGATTCACCACGATATCAAGCCTGACAAGTAAGTTATTGAGATGGTAATTATATCTCCGCATAGCTTGTTCATATATGGCCATGATTATATTCTCAAATTGGGTGACTTTGGAATAGCCCGAGATTGGGGGGCCATTTCAATTGTTGGTGGGACACCTAGGTATATGGCACCGGAAGTACTAGCTGGTCTAAAGCCAAATGGCGAGGTCCGAAAATGCTAGAAGCTGTAGTTTTCAACTATTTAGGATATATATAAATGCGATATTTATGGAGCCGGATGGGTTGTATTTGATATGGTTCAGAGAAGGTATCATTTCGCGCTATCGATGTATCATTATATAATTGTAGCAATCCCGGAAACAAAATTATTAGCAACGTATTGAGGGATGGATTGCCGCATTTGGAGACCATTAAAAAGCTTGTAGTCGGGTAATGGAACTAGGGTTTGCATTTTCAATTCCTTAGATGTACGTTGCCGAACGTGTTTGATAGGCTTTGTGTGGGGCAGGCGTTGGATTTATGCGAAGGAATGGTGAAGGTAGAACTAGATATGCAATATTGTCAGGCAAGCAGTTCAGGAGTTTGAGGGCCTCCACGCCAGGCCCGATCCCAATCCATTCCGGAAAAGACTGGAGCCACCTATTGGACTAGTTGTAGAGGGGCAGGTGAATAACGTCAAATCCGTTGAGATGACCCCACCGGGTGTCGCGTCCACCTCTACTTCGTCAGACAAGTCAGGAAAGGTGCCCGAAGTGGCCCAACGAAAAGTGGACCCACGAGAAAGACTTCTGATGGATTTGAAGGAACAATTCGGGCTTACTACCCTATTCGACACAAGTCATCATTGCTTCCAAATGTTGACAGATGTGAATCATCGTAGATGCGGCAACAAAACCAGAAGAGCACTGTGTGACGAGATTCTCGAGGACTTGGCGCAACTATCAATTGAGCATCAATATGAATGTGTTGAGCAGATTGAGCGTAAAAGGAAAATGCCCGAACTCGGCCAGCCATATGCAACATACGACACTATTCTTGGCAAGTTTTATCAGGTAGAATATATAGACCGTGAACTGCAGTCGCGATCTCACGACTTTGCGTTTGAAATGTTATTTGAGGCTGATCGGCCGACACTTCCTTATTGGGATACAGTGCAGCTCATCGAGAAAGCGATTATGGAAGTCAGAGAACTGGACAAATTGTTTATACGGAGACGATTTCTATCTACTATCACCATCGATGGGTCCCGCCATACCTGGTTCGAAACGCCCGAACACGACGCATTCCTGCGCACCGATTATACTGACATGCGCCCGAGGACCAGCTTCGGAAGTGAGATAAATCGGTATGAGACCGGCCTGAAGGAGCCAGTCAATAACGAACAGCTACGGAGAGCACTCGTCGAAGCTGGCCCAGCCTTCAAAAAGCAAATTATCAACCGACGTCTTGCCGTCGAGCAGAGAGCTCGGCCAGACACCAAGTTAAGGTTAGCTGGGCAACCCACTGATTGGGGAACGCTTGATAGCCAGGAGGCGTTGAGCACTCTCGACGCCATTTCTGATCAACCATTTAAAAGATACGTTTTTCTCCTGGATGCCCCTCCCGCACATTCGTGTTCGGAAGGCACCTGTGCAATTGCAGGCGGGTTTCCAAGCTGGGCAGACGCGGACCTCCGCATCAACTATCATCAATGTTCGACAAAGGAACAAATTGACTATATTGAAGACTATACGCTGATGGTGATTGCCTTCAAATACATTTTACGAAAACTGACGTTTTGGAACGTCTTTTGGTTCCAGCCGTTGATCGACAAATTGATCGCTGAAATCGAGCTTCGAGAACGATCATCGGCATTCTTTTTCGGGTGGTTCGAAACCGAGAACGGCGCTAAGGCGATGATGCTTGAATTTAACCGGATGACGGAGAAGGGGACCTTTCTCACGCGTGAGATGGAGCTCGTCTATTCGCCGCAAGGGCTCAGAGCTATTGGATTTCTCCCTATGAAGCTAACCAGTATCCTACCAACGCTACGTTCCATACGGGACGTATCGCCGCGGGAATTGGCCGCTGGATGGCCGGAGCCGTTTCCAGGTGGGAAATGGCGCCGAGAATTTGGAAGACTCGCTAAAATGGTAGATGTCCCCATTCTGAACCTGCGAGATGTCATTTTGTGCCGGTTTCAGGCGCGGCGGCGCTGGGCCGTTAAAATCAAGGAGAGCGGGGACACAAGCCCCAGAAACTTTTTTGAAGCTGTGCGTTTGTTGCGCCGATGTTCATTTCGCCGACGATCATTTCGTCCAATGTCGAGCGAAAATAGCAACTTTAAGGGGCTCAGATGAACTTTCCCGAATAAAGAGGCGCTATTTTGGCCCAAACTTTGGCTAATTTCGGCTAAACAAAAATCGGTGACATGATCGTGGTGAAATGAACGGAAATCATAGAATCAGATTAAATCTTAGAAAAGGAAACCCGTTGTTTTCTCGCAGTTCCGAGAGCTTTCGATTGGTAGCTAAATCGTGAAAATCGGACGAGTCTGCGGACCGCTAGTTAGGGGTTTTTTTTTCAGACACCCTCCCTGTATGCGGAGATAACTCGCTAACCTGCTTTTTGTGATTTTGCGAAAAACTTCGCGGGCTAGTATCTCGGTCATCATTGATTTCAACGGCCCATCACCCTTGACCGGAAGCCGCGCAACTCAACGCTACCAAATGACATATCTCACGTTCGCGTTGGGCCTATCTACGATATTAGGGAACCTTCCAGGATCTCGGCGACTCAACTTTCGTCCCAAACCAATACAGGGGGTCCCAAAAAACACCCCCCTCTAACTCGACGCAGAAGTAGCGGATCGGAATGATAGTTACACCATTCGAAAGCCCTTGAAACCCCCAGTTTGCAACAATCTTCAAAACCATGTTTTTACTTAAAGGGATAACGACGGCATACGTAATCGATGACGCGAGGGCAAGAAAACGTCTCTGCGTCTTGCCGCTGGCGTGTTCTCTGCCCTGCTGGCTACGTGCCAAAAAGTCGATCAGGGGTGATCGACCGGTGCCGTCGGTATCCCTTTAAGCCCGCTATTTTCTGAATAATCCTACCCTATAAGCGAGAAACGTATGTCTGTTTTCTGTACGGCCGTTTTCTCGGCCGTCAGGCCGAGTTTCGAGCTGATTTTTGGCATGGAGGTGGGAAATGCCATTCATAAAAAACGGTTTTTTGGATTTTTCGAAATTCTTTCATTTAACGATTTTACAAGCAAAAATGTGAAAAATCCTTAACATTTTTGGGTGCGCATGTTGTCCGGAACTTTTCTCGGCCCCTAGAAGGAATTGAGGCCTCCTTTTTGGAGGGTAGGTGGCAAAAGTAATTCCCCAGATACATTTTTTCGGATTTTGCCAAATTTTTTAAAATAAAGTTTTTATAAGGATTTTTCTGATAGGTCCTTAGTAAACCGCGGGACCGGCCGTGGTGTCCGGGCCCTAACTCGAAGCCCTGATGGAATTCCGGGCTGAAATTTGCACCGTTTATGGAATCAAGGATGGGGATCACGCGCATCTTATTACCTTTGCTAATTTTCCACAGATTCAAACTCAAAAATCGAATTTTGTAAAGTGACCAGAAGGCCTCCCTCCGGGAAGATTGGTCACCCGTATCTTTGCCCGGCCTCCCCAGGACAGAAGAGGCCTTTCCCGCATCCGCTTCCCATGTGGCCCTTGGTGTAGTGGGTTGGCGGTCGGTCTACTATGCGCGGGGTCGTGAGTTCGGATTCTGGGAGAATTTAGTTTTTTGCTTTTTGGTAGTTCGGCAAAACATATTTCCAGGCTCTCAGTGTGGGAGGTTTAGACCTGGCTCTCGCTCTAGCGCCGCAGGCCAAAGAAAAGGTTCTTGACCGAGGCTCTCGCGCCGCAGGCTAAACAGAAGGTGCTTCCTGGGCCCAGGCTCTCGCGCCGCAGGCCAGATCCTGGAGAAAAACGAGTAACTAGCGCCGCAGGCCCAAAGATTCGCGCAACGCTGGCTCTGGCGCCGCAGGCCAAAGAATGGCTTCTTGACTCAGGTTCTAGCGCCGCAGGCTAAAAAAAGGAGGGATTCAAATTCATGGTTCCTGGACGGGGTCCAGTGGAAAAGGGCCGCGAAGCGGTCTTTTTCCACTGGTTTTGTAAGATTTTGCGCTTTTTTCGGGGTTGCATGCGAAACAATTTGCCTCACTCTCCATACAAATGGCCTGGCCACAATAGCTACAAATCGCTTTTTAAATGGCTTGAAAAGTGGCGCGTTGAAGTTAAACGATGGTTTTGACGAATGTTGCAAACCGTTTCAAGGGCTTTTAAACGGTGTAGCTGCCATTCCGATCCGATACTTCTGCGTCAAGTAAAGGTGGGTGTTTTTTTGGACAACGCTGTAATATTTAAGCGTCAACCAGGGTTGAAAAGCCGCTTCGCGACTTTTCAACCCTGGCCCCGTCTGAGCCCATGATATCCTGCACATTGCATAATTCGACCGAATTTCGATGAAAAATAATGAAAAATGCTCCCTCTCCGCCGTTATATAGGCTGCCGCCACTTCCGGCTTATGCTAATTTTATCCTAACAAAGAGGCTGCCCGATTTTTTAACAAAAAGCTATTTTTAATGTCGAAAGTAGCATCATTTGCAAAATCTGCTATGCGTGCAGTCATCTCCAGATGATCACGCACCTAATGACGTATCATATGTAGCCTAATACCCTTTCTCCCTTGAGATATCCTCCGGACACCCTGACGGAAGTTGCATGCAAATGCACACACACACACACAAACACTATTTTTTTATATATAGTAGGATTTGTTTTCAGCCGGAAGCGCTTGCAAGCCGCGGCCTCTCGTCACCATTTGGCACGAAATCCTGTCAGTTTGGCAAACGCCTTTCAACGTTGCTTTTTAGGTGGTACCCAGTGCTTGCGCCAGGAGGGAAGTGGACTGTGTAGTCTGGGAAGAAAAGTATTGAATTCTCAATTTTTTTATTCTGATTCTTGTGCGTGTTCTTCCCGCATTAACAAAGTGAATGCCATTTCATGATGGCGTTTTCACGAAAATAAAGGGATGCCTTTAAAGGGCTCCGAAATACCAAAAATTGAGGTACGGACCGAAAACCGGAGCCCTGTACGGCGGAGGCCTTTACACACCCAAAGCCCGGGAAGCGCCGAAATTTGAAATTCCCCGTGGTCACCTCCAAACTCATGTTTTCTTCGACTGTTGTTCAGCTATAGTTGCTGATTAAAACTAAAAAGACTATTTAAAATTGATTGATGATTTCAAAAATGATTGTATATGCTAATTATAGTGTTTTTACAAAGAAATAGAGCAAAATCAATTTCATGTCAAATCGATCAAAATAGATCAATCAATTGCGCCCAAAATTTTTTAAACAGTTGCTCTAGAACGCAGGCAAATTAGCCGGATGGCATTATTTTGAGTATTTTAAAGCGCACGTTCAGGGAGGGGCCGTGTACTCGTCCCAACGTGTACACCCTATGGACGTTGGGACCGCGCGCGCGGCCTGCCCGTGCTGTGACAGGCAATTTCTCTCCTTTGCGGCGTGAGGCGCCCCTGGCCCCCTCGCCAGGTTGTAGCTGTGGCTGACTGGTATCCATCCGCGCCTCCCGAGCGGGGGGCCCGGGTTCGACCCCGGCCGCGGCAAAAACCTTTGCTTTTTTCCAAAAAAACGTCCCTGAACGTACCCTTTAAAGCTTAGTTTTTCGCTAAAACGTTAAATTCTGCTTTTAATGATTAAAAATATCTTTTATTTGCGCAACCAATTGTAAAGATTTATCCTTACGTTTTTACATCACTAGGTTCTTGCGAGCCCCAATTTTTTGCGCGAAATTTGCTAATTTCCACGCTGCAACACTTTGCTATTTGCACAGCCGGCAGAAAGGGGGGATAAAGGCAAAAAGTTTGAAAATTCACGCGGAATCCCTTTGGGGGGTGTCGTTTGTTCAGATGCGGAAGTTGCTGGGGCCACACCGCCGCTAGTCCAATCTAGGGGTCCGATTTTCGCTATTTGGCCAGAATATTCTCTCAAACTTTGGGAAACAACCAACTGGCAGCCAGTCTAAATGTTGACCCTAATTTTATTGGTATTTCTGGCTACCGTATCCGCCCAGGACTTTCCGGACGAATGTATCGAGGGGCGTAAGTGGCATTCGATTACGCAATGAAATTCACGCTTTTTAGCGTATCTTTCGTTTCTTGGGTGCAATGCCGGCTCGCAGCCTGTTGGTGAGTCCAAAATTTAATAAAAAATCTGCCGAAAATAGGCGATTTTAGTGATGTTCCAAGGGTCGAGGGTTCGACCCCCGGCCGCGACAATTTTTTGCTTTTTGCTTTTTAAGCTTTTAAAATTTTTCTAGGGGCTCAATGGAGCTCTAAAAAATGAAATTTAGGTGATTTGTGCATCTACGACTCGTGTCTCGTGACGACGGCAGCTGTGGTGACTACGGTGGCCGGGGGAACGGATACGGTAGTACCGGGAGGTACCGTATGAAGCAAGTGACGCTAAAAACCGATTCAGGCAGTACACAGCCAGGTTTTACCGGATCGACGAGTCCGGGGAGTTACAGTAATCCCCCATCTGGAGCACCAGTCACAGGCGGCATTTGTAGCGATCTAAGTTCACTGTAAGTTTTCGAAAATTCATTTTTTTCGCTTCGCTAGATCGTAAATCGGTTTTGTTGGCAGCCAGTTTAATCTTCAAAGCGAAACAGAAATCGAATTGCTGTAGTTACTGCCCATTTTTGATAGATTTTGTACGTTTCGCTACGCTAGAATACGCTAAAAACGTTGTTTAGGTGCGGCGTATGGGCTCGGAACGGGTTCTGCACGTCGTCATTCTACCCAGAAGCCGTTCGTCGACAACAATGCGGTATTACATGCCAATTCTGTGGAGTGCAGACTACCGTATCCACTTGTAGAGACAAGGACACAGCAGGGTAGGACCTCACTTTCCTGGTCTTTTAAAGCGCGAAAATCGACCCCGCGTGTATGTAGGTGTCGACAGCTACGTTTCGCTCCAAATTCCACGCGATACTTGCCATTTGGGTTTTTGCGTAGTTGTCTACACCTAGTGAAGGCTAGGGGTCGATTCTCACGCCTCCTAGCCCCTTTAAAGGGATGGTAACCCTGGAAAAATTCAATTTTCAGTTGCCCTGTCTGGCAGAAGAACGGTTTCTGCCAATCGAGTTTCTACAACGAAACAATTCGAAGGGAGCTGTGCCTGAAAAGTTGCGGATATTGCTGAACAAGAAATCATTTTAATTGATTTTTATATATTTATTTAAAGTTTTTTATTTGCTTCATTAAAACCATCTTTTAATTTCATGAAACATCCGGTGTACTTTAGAAATGTTTTTCGAGTGATATTTATGTGATGCAAAATAGCAATAAAAGGCAAAACAGAAAATTTATATTTTTCCGAAGCCATTAAAAATTTCTCAATCGCGAAACTGACGTGTTTTCTTCAGCTCCATTTGCCGAGCCTTCGGTATCGGATTTTGAGGGTTCGCTGAAAAAAGCTTTTAGCGCAATTTTTTATTCCATATTTGCGATTTTTGGCGCATGAGAATTTTTTTTACCGGGATTACGGTAGTCTAAAATCTTCAAAAATATTTTTTTGCACCTGAAAAGCGAAACTGGCTGCCAATTAAAAGCACCGTACCTATCCTCTCCTTCCCCAACCGAAAGTACGGTAGTTGGGGCATCAGAAGCCACAGACACCACCTCGTCATTTGGTGCATCCGTACTCGACACCGGCGGCAATACCAGCCCTGCCGTCTCGGTCACCATTTGGGCACCCTAAATTACGGGAAGGCTACAGTGCACTTCAGTTTACACCTACCGTATCCTGGTCAGGTTGTTCGGTTGATGATTGTGAAATTACGGCCGCATCCTGGCTCGTAATTAGAGGGGTTTCAGGTGGTTCATTGAAAGGATTCGGCTCCGGAGACACCATTCTGAACGAGGGGATACTATGGACTGCATAGTGGAATTTGTGGTTTTTAGCCCAGTTAAAAGGATTGCGACATCAGAATCCGGCTGAACGTGCCGACTGTCACCTTCCCTGAACAACTCCTTTAAAAAATTGGATTTTCCTAGCGTAATCGGTCCTGTTTTTTTTAAATTGCATGACGTAAAGGGCTTATTTTTATCGCGTAATTGGACAAACTTCCTCGAAAACCCATTAAATTTTTTCATAGCGTAATCGATTCCCTTTTTATCGAATTTCATGGCGTAACGGACTGATTTCGGTCGCGTAACCGGTTAAATCTTATACGCATCTCCCTAATAACTCACATGTCCATATTTTCGGCACTGTTACTCCCAGGGGATTCGATAGGTATAGATGTCGTCTCTTCCCCAGTATTAGCGTCAGCAGTAATACTCGGAATTGTGGATTTGGTTTGGAATAGACCGGAATTGAGGACGGCTTGTTTGATTATCGATTCGACAATGCCACCGCCATCTCGTGTCGTCGTTTCATCTACCGGCGTCGTGCTGAAAAATTCGGATTTTCCGCTTCAACGGCCCTCTAAGCAAAATTTTAGAAAATTCCCCAACAAATCTTTGCTAGTTTGCCATCTCCTGATTTTAACTGTCAGTCGGGCAAGCTCGCATAGATCCTTTGGGAGCGAAAACATCCATTACAGTTTTGATCTTTTACTCCAAGGCCCCTTTAAACGGATTTTTGAAAATTCCGCAAAGTATCTTTGCTAGTTTCCCGTCCAAATTTTAAACTGGCGGCCGGGCAAGCTAGCAGAGACCATTTGAGACAGAAAACCGTTACTTCCGGTTTATTTTGTTCGAATTTCCACTCAAAATCGATTTTTGAAAAATTCCGCAAAAATCTCTGTTCTCAGAATCTTTCGCCAAATGCTTATCTGTCAGCCAGGCAAGCTAGCAGAAAACCTTTGAGCGCGAAAAATCGTAATTTCGACCCCTTACGTAGTCTCTGGTACCATAGTAGTCGTGGTAGTTGTTGTAGTCTCTGGTCCGGGTACGTAAGTGTACTGTACACGCCATACCGTGCCTGAAAGTAATGGAAGTCGATAAACTGGCGGGCAGTAGAGCGGTTTTACGATGGCATGCTAGCAAAGGCGATTTGCGGAATCCGATACCTCGAATGACCAATCTATCAGGAATACATGCTCCCTGTTGGGCAGATAGCTCAGCCCTAATCGAATATCGCTGAAAGATATCTCGATTCCATGGCTTTCTCTTGTCTCCACTCCAAAGTACGTATTTGTTTTCCTCGATTCTGAAAATCGAGGTTATTGATTACGCTAGAAAAAATGCATTAAAAATTGATTTTTCTCATTTTAAAAAGTTCCAGTCTTCTAAAAATAATTAAATTGCATCAAAACACCATAAAATTCGGCATGATTAATTTTTATTTATGGTATTGAAGAAGTTACGGCGTAGAAATTATTAGGCTTATCCGATTACGACATGAAAAACTTACCCGACAGAAATGAGGAATTGGCGTCGATAGGGGAAATACGGATCGGCGTGGAGAACGTTTCGTTTGCTGGCTGTACCATCCTAAATAAATTTTTTTCAATAGACCTAGCTAACTGTAAAGTGTTTTATTCAAGTTGGAGTTTCGATTCGGGACCAAGTGCATCTTGTGCAGAATTTTTCGCTGATTCCCGAATCCGCTTTCCAAATTTGCTGCGGACTTTTATTTTGAAAGTTATACATCAGTTATGATAGTGTTTTTCACCAAAATCAAGGAACCGTTATCGTTTTCGATTTTCCTGATCAATTTCAACTTCGAAATTGGTTGGAGATTGGCTGGACAAGCATCTTAAAAGTCAAAACAAGCTTTTTATAAAAAATTAGATTGTTTTATGCAAAAAGCAAAAGAAAGATGCAGGGCGGGGATCCGAACGATCCGCCCTGCGCTTGGCAAGCGAGCACTTTGCCAATGCACCATGGTGCCAACTGGGAAGGGAGCTGTGAGCGCGTACTTCAGGGCCCCTGGACCAGATCGAACCAAGGAGGGAATAGTGGGCCAGAATCCGAGTTTTTGGCTTTTTCAAGCTTAATTTGCACCAAAAATGACTTTTTAAATAAAAGTCCGCAGCAAATTTGGAAAACGGATTCGGTATCAGCAAAAAATTCTGCACAAGATGCACTTGGTCCCGAATCGAAACTCCAACTTGAGTAAAAATACTTTACAGTAAGAGAAAAATAAAATATGTCAATCATCCAACAATAAATTTACTGTAATAAAACAAAAAGATTTAAAAATCTGAAAAAATTTAGTTTAATTAAAAAATGGTTTTTGTAATTTTAAACGGACCCAATCATCGGAAGTGACCGTCAAATCACAGCTGTAGTGGAAATGCCACCACTCGTCCACATCAATCTGTAGGTAGGATTACATGTCGTAAACGACTGCTAAAAATTGGCTCACCTCCGGCAGACAGGAGTCGATTTTGGCGGAAAATACGGCCTTGCCGAGCAGACTGCACACCAGATTCACCTCCAGACTACAAAAATAATCAGTACTTGCAAGAGCAAAAAGTTTGTTTCGGGCGGGGATCGAACCCACGACCTTTCGCGCGATCGAAACGCTCTGAAATTAAATTAAAACGCAGTATCGACTAGACTGGATGTCAGTTTAAACTTCAGAATACAAAAAATAGCTAAATTTCAAAATTAAAAAGTCTGCCGTCTGCGGGAGTCGAACCCTCGACCCTTGGATCGAAAAATTAGGCCACAAATCATTAAACTGACTGCCATACCTTTGAAACAAATCCTCCGCATTTGCCGAAATCACATAGGAATCCCCCACTTTCCCATCAATCTCGATTTCCTTCGTTTTGAAGAGAGCCGAATTCTGAAATCGATCAAAAAACTGCCTGACACCCAATTGATTACACCAGCAATTACTGTTAAATTTTAACAGTAAATTTATTGGCTGGAGGCCAGAAAAGAGTTTTATAAGCCTAAACAACTTTAAATTTCCGTTTATAAGTTATAAAATGCTTACCACCCCAACTCCGAGCCAGAAGAATAGTAGGTGGGCAAAAAGTGTGAAAAGTCGGGGCATTTCCCGTTTTTCAGGATCATCATTCCGGGGAGTCGGGACATAGGGATGATCACTTTTTTACGGAGAAAGAGTAGAGAGAGAGAGAGAGAGAGAGAGAGAGAACCCATCTATCATCATTATCATATCCGCCAGCGGGAAAGAGAGTTGTATGAAAAACCCGTATGTGAAGGTAAAAAGGTAGTAAAACTATCTACAAGAGGTAACTGACAGCCAAAAATGGAAATCCTCTGCAGCAATCTAGGAGCTTTCCTAAAGCATCTCAGCTAACAAGATCTCCGCCCCGGTCAATGATAAGACAACCGTGACTAATATGCAAGTAGGGAGGAAGTGGAGGAACAGATAGACAGACAGCTAGACCCTCTGGCTAACCCAGACGGTCCTTCTGATGGTTAGGCTGGTAAAAGACGAGGTAGGTAGTGATATTAAGACGAGCCCCTGTTTCTGCTTTTTTAATAAAAATCTCAGCAAGTCGATCGCTCGAGTCGATTCCATCTTCATATCGTTTTTTTTGGCAGAGACGGCACGATGATTGCGCTAATTCTTCCACTTCAAAAATTAGCAAAACGAAATTCAAGTTTCGAATCGTATCGACCATTGGCGATCTTTCTAGCCCCACGCGAGCTTTAATTTAAAGAGATGAGGACGGCATCTGTTGAACCCCCCTTGGGGAGGGGGGGTTCAACAGATGTAGCGGCGAGAGAGGCCGCCCAGGGAAAGGCGCAGAGACATTTTCTTTCCCGCGCGTAATCGATTGACTTATGCCGCCCCTATCCCTTTAAGCAGTGCCTCAGTAAGAAAGGATTCCTTTATTCCACGCTCTTTCTCTGGCCTACAGAATACAGATTCGATGCACTGATTCAGTCCGCCTCTCTTCTCCTTTTTCATCAGATGACTCAGACGAGACGCCGTCCCACGGCCCAGGCCAGCCGATTATCGATCGATGCCGGAGCTGATAGCCCGCAGAGAGGCCCCCTTTTCTTTCCATATTTTCTGAATTTGGGCCAGGCTTTCGAACTGATCGCTTTCTTGAGAAGACGCCCGTTCCTCTTTACACCTCTCCCTCTTTCTCTCTTCTCAAATATTTGCCGATGAATCAGCTGTGTGCAGCCATCTTTCCCCGTTCCTCCCTCCCAAAAGCCATACGCAAATTTACGTCATGTTTTTACGTTTTAATTTATGCTTTTTGGCACCCAACTAACGGTTTTATCGATTAAAATTAGTAGCAATTGCTTTTATAAAAAATTTTGATCGCTAAAACTCCGGATTGTTTTGCAGTTTGGCCATATTTCATCCGATTACGCTATCAAAATCTAACCTGAAAATTTTCGAGAGGCATTTTTCCTGGAATTTACTTGTCTGGCGGGTGGCCAAGAATAAACAAACAACATAAATATCTTTTTAAAGCCGCATTTTTTAATTTTTCCGGTTATTCAGTTTTGCGTTCTTTATTACATTACGCGGTTAAATTCTGTATTCTTTTTATTAGGTTTTAACGATTTATTGAGCCTAATTTGCAGCAATAAATCAATTCCAACCCTTTTTTTGGTCCAGATCCATTGTGTTTCCCTAATTTGCATAATCGTCAAAAGGATGGCCCCGTAGCCCCGGGTCTTTCTTTCTTTCTCTCGCCCCCTTATTCGATGGTGCTCAACTTTTACGATGTCGTTCTCAAGGTCTCTCTCTCTCTCTCTCTCTCTCATCACGGACAATACCTGACCAGGACTGCCGTTGGTATTTTTGAAAACCTATTGAAGCAAAGGCTGATCCAAAAAGCCGATGGCTTATGACTTCAGCGGTCCTTTAAAATCGAAAAAATGCCAAAAATCCGTTGATCTGGAAGCCAATCTCTTGTTGCGAACACTCATCGACGCATTCGTAGACAGTATTAGGTTATACTGCTTTCTAGAGAATCCTTTCTCGTGTGGATTTTGACTTCAGCCGCCCTTTAAAAGCGAAAAATCCGTGTAATCTCTCTATCTGATAGCCATTCTATCGATTCTATCTGTTATAGACGCATTAATGGACCAAATTAATTTATGCAGTTTGCGAATTTTTCGCTACGATACCCCGAATTTCGCGAATTTCGAGCTACTCCCTAGCTGGGTCCATTTCTGTAACATAAGCTGCAGTGTCTCCCAGGTAGTCGATTCTGTCTGTCTCTCTGTCTGCCAGTGTGTTCGTTCCATTGGTGTATCCCCCCCGGTTCCGTTTATTTACCCACCCTCTCCCCCCATCCAAAGGTCTACACCATGGTCAGGGTGTTCCACTAGGGTCTCTCTCTCTCTCTCTCTCTCTCTCTCTCGTGTCCAATATCGATCGAATACCCTTCCCAGAAGGCCATACCTGTCCATCGCCCTAAAAGGAACGCCCCAGGCACTCTGCCCCCTACCAAGTGGCGAGGCAGCCTCTTTTTGTGCCGCACCAACGCGCCGCCCCGGCTGTACGGAGGTGTAAGGTGTAGTCTGGCTGGCAGTTAAGCTATTAGTGCGTATTCTGGCTATTCTGTCTGCCAATAATGTTTTCCGATTCCTTTAAAACTCATTTTTTGCCGACTTGCAGATTTCCTCATCATTCGTGGCTTTTTTTAGGTTGCCGAGGCTGGCCTGATACGTACAGAGGTGTAAGGTGTACTTTGGCGTTCAATTAAGCTTTTCTGACATACACTAGGGTTCTCGGCTCCTTTAAAATGCAACTTTTTTTGCTCGGTGGTCTATTCTGCCATTATTCGTGGCTTTTCCTAGCTCCTACCATTTGTGGTTGTACGTACGGAGGTGTAAGCCGTATTCTGTCGTTCAGTTAGGCTTTTCTGTCGGGCAATAGGGTACCCTGATCATTTAAAATGATTTTTTTGCTAGATTTTCTATTATTCTATTACTATTTCTATTAATACGTTTCCAAGGTTTTCGAGTCTCAGTTTTGCTTAAAACGTATTTTTGCGTATTCTGCCGTACAAATAAGTTCTTTCTGCGAGTAGCTTGCAGTTTTGCGTATTCTGGCGCACAGTAAAAGGCTATAAGGCCCGTCAAAATTCGATTTCTGTTCGGTTGTCTATCGTGGCATGCAAAATGGATCCGAATTATGGTATTTTTGTGGATTCCTTGAGTTTTTAATTATATCCGATGATGGAGTTTTCCATTTTTTATTCTGGCACCAATCCATATATATGCGAGTTGGTACGCCGGAATGGCCTTCATTTTTTGCCAGCCCTTCCACACCGACTAGGTCAACGCCTAACAACTCGACCTTCCAGCCCCCATACTAGGGACTCTACCAGCCGCTAACCAAATGGCCTCAGGGCATATTCTCCACTTTTGACACCTGTAGGCGGTCAACTGATTGGCAGTTCAGCTATTTTCATGTTTAAAGGGACCGGGAAGTCCGATTCTAGCGGCTACAATCTTGCGCTCTACCTAGAGGCGGCCGAATATGGGCCCTCAGACTAAATCGTTATTTTTGAAACCTATTGACAGCACTAAACGTCCAACTGTTTGGCAGTTAGGGAATTTTCAAATTTTAAGGGTCCGGCAAGGCCGTTGTCTGACAACAGACCGGTTGTGGAATTTTCATGGCACAAAGCTAGCCACAGGTTTAAAATCGAGCTAAAATCACCCATTTTTGCAAATAATTCTAATTTTTCTTTTATGTATTGTTTTTTCTGTCCTCCAGTCTACGCTTTACTCAGAAAATTCAAATATTTTCAGCTACTTCTCTATTTATTGGCCAGCTACTCGATGATTCCGCGGTGGTGACACATGGAGAAGCCATTTCTCATACTAATCGGTCTCTATGGCCTCTTTCAAATTGCAAATCCACAGGGGCAGGTGAGCAGATTCAATTTTCAAAAAGCAGAAAGTTTGCGCCGAGCCGGGATTCGAACCCGGGTCGTGAGATTGGCAGGCAAACTCACTATCCACTAGGCTAAAGTACGCTTTTCCAAGATGAAAACCAAATATATCCACTTTATGCCAGTCAGTTTGTCGTATTTTCAAAAAACAAAACGTTTTGTTGCCGGCGGGATTCGAACCCGGGTCGTCAGCTTGGTATTCAAACTCACTATCCACTAGGCCACGTCAGTATCAGGAAATTTCAACAAAAAAACCCGAGAAAATCTCCATTTCCGCTTGCAGCCAGCCGACCGTGGCCTGCGGACAAACCTTGGACCTCCGAAGAACATCCTCGGCGGCTCGTACGCGAATAATGTGACGCTATTCTTTCGGAATTCCCCGTATCGGTCAGTTTGCAGGCAGATTGACGATATATCGATTATTTTAGGATAGAGAAAGATCTGATCGTTGAGAAGGGAGTGACACTGACGATAGAGACTGGCACTCAGCTATTATTCGATACGGGAGTCGGACTCATCGTTCAAGGGATAATTCGAGCTGTCGTAAGTTGGAGCCGGGTGGAATATGCGTGAAAATCTTGATTTCGTTAAACTGACAGTTATAAAATGTGCATGAAACTTTTGAGCACGAGTTTTAAAGGAACTGACAAGTTCGGGGTTATGCAGTTTTTCGGTTTCTGTCATTTTTGCCGTTAGTATGAATTTGGAAATTTTTTCTGAAAATATGCATAGAAATTTCAAGTTCAGTTTTAAAGGGACCATGAAGTCAAAAGTTTCAAAAAGTCCAGAAAGACCACATTTTTAGGGCAATGAATTCGCGCACATCCAGATGCTACCGTACAACCAGGATTTCGATCAGGAGTTTGACATTCCGCGATTTCGGCTGATTGATGGGCCAACTGTCAAGCAGGTAAGCGATTACGACCGGTAATTCCGTATCGAACAATAGTTTACGAAATTAAATTTCAAAAACTATGAACAATTTTTAGGGTCGCCTCCAGATGAAGATCCACGATCGATGGAGGAGCGTTTGCACACAGTTGACAAAGTAACCGCTTTTGGGGTTTTTAAAGGGATCGTGATAGCTGGGAAATTTAGCTACCGTAACCATTACTGCGTGCCAGAAAAAATAAAAATGACAAAAGCAAGATAATGGAAATTATTTTCAGTTGGACGAGCGTCGATTATACGGTAGCCTGCCGGTCAATGGGATATGCCGACGGAGGTGGGAGATTTTTTTGGTGTTGGGTGTACTGTAGTCCAGTTGATCGATTAGTTATTTTTTTTTTTATTTTATATTTTTTAAAATTATAAAATTTAATTTTTAAAAAAAATTTTATATTTTTTTTTTTTTTTCTCCCCTTTTTTTTTTTTTTTAACTACAAACTACAACCCCATAATTTTCAGGATTCTGGCGTTGGTACCTTCGGAATAACGACACATTCCCGGCAGTAGTTCCCCGGCCAGACTGTCCGCCAATGGCACCAAGTCTACTCGATTGTCCGGGGTGCGTTTTTCCATTTTAAAGGGCTATTGGAGGCAAAATCGGATATATTTAATTTGGAACGTTCAAAAATTGACAAACTGCCAGCCAGTTTAGCGATTCATAACGTATTTTTGCCTTTTTAAAGGGCCGTTGAAGGCTATGGATTCGATTTTTAGCAAATAGCCAGTCATTTTATCGATCGATACAGTGATTTTCGATTGGCCAACTTTTTCAATTTTTTTTCATGAAACTATCCCTCCATTTTTCAGCCTATCCGACGAGTCCAAAATTCCGATGTCCGAGAATCTATGCCAGGGTGAAGATGATGTCGGGATGATTTGTTGGGGACAGCCAACATTCAAGGGGTGGAGTCGACACTGGAAAGGTACGGTAATTAGAGCGATCTTAAAGGATTTCACCAAACAGAAAAATCTGATAATTATCGAAAAATTCGCCACAAATTTAAAAATCGTGTAAAATACCGTTTTTGAGCGTCTCTAAATGCATGTCGTAATTACATAGGAAAACACGTTTTTAACGGGAAAACCTATTTTAATAATTCTGAGCAATTTTATTTTTCAGCACAAGCAATTTCATGGCGTAATTGAATAGGAGTTTTCGTGGTCCACACAAAAGACTGAAATTGCGTTTAAAATTGCATTTTGCGTTACCGGACCCAGACGAATTTTGTGGCGTAATCGATTGCGGTCTATCGAATTGATTACGCTACTTAATTCATTTCAGGCCTTCAAATCCTGAATTCCCCGTTCGGTTATGTGAACGCGGATCCGGATAATGTGGCAGTACAGAGAGAATCGGCCAGTCGACTCGAATGGATCGATATTTTGTATGCCGGATATGATGGGTATGTCAAAATATAGAAATATACCTTTATTACTATTAAATACGTTTTCTAAGTTCATACTGTCATGCAACAATCTTTTTAGAGCCTCAAAAAACGCAACGCCAGCCCTGTACATTGAAGGCGTGCCACCGCTAATGAACGGTACGACATGCATTTTTGTATTTCGGTGGCTGCAAACTACAACCTGGCTTTAGCGATTGATTTCTGTAGTCTAGTAGCCAGTAGACTTACTAAACTACAAACTACAAAAACTACAGACTACACTTCCATCTTAACGTTATTTTTCGATAATCTGGCGGCCAGTAGGCATAATTAAGCCATAAACTACGGAAAATACAAATTACAAATCAATTGTCACCATTTTTTTTAGCTAATCTGGCAGCCAGCTTGGCCATTTATCGCTATAGAATTTTTGTAACTACCTATTTCAGGTATCCGAGTGGAAAGAAGCGGCCGTGATGGTGTCTATTTCTACGAACCGAGTGGCCCGATTTTGATAGCAAATTCGACGTTTTCCTTTAATCGTGGCCACGGCATTGCAATCGACAACACGACAGGTATATATGGAAGCCAGAAAATCGATTAAATCAATCGATTTCTTTAGATGGTCGTGCATTTATCAATTATACGATGATTGAGGGAAATCTGGGTGATGGAATCTGGTATCGACAGAAAGGGAAAGGAAGTATCAATGTTGGACTCATTGATCGAGTGCAGGGCAGTAAGTTCATTACGACAGCATATTTTTAATGGTCTAAACGCATAACTGCCGTCCAATTGGCACATTCTCACCCAAAACTAAAATTTTTTGCAGGTTTTCCAAAAAATCGACTTTTTCAAAAATTAGAAAATTTTTGAAATTCGTAAATATTATTGTGGCTATTTTTCTGTAAAATTCATCTTTGCACAAGGTTGGCCGTAGAAATCGTACGAATAGTTAAATTAATTTCAGTATTTTCGTTTAAAAATACATAAACTCATTTTTTAGCAATTAAAAATCGGCATTTTTGCAAAATATGAAAAATTTTGGTACATAATTTTACAACGAAATTTACGCATTTACAATTTTTAGAAAATACAAAAACAATATTAGGAAATAATTTCAGTTTTCGAATAATAATTTTTCGAATTTTAAAATTTTTTGAAGTCAATTTTTATGTGTTTTTTTTTGCAGGAACAAAGCGTCAGATGCAGATCAGCGACAGTCTCAACCAGATCGAGATTCCGCAAGTGGACATTTGCCAGAATCACTCGGCGCCAACGGCCCACTATTTCCCCTACCTACTCCGAGCCCTTCTGGAAGAGAATACGCTTCTGGACCCGCTAATTCCATCCCCGTGTTGGATTACCGTATCCCTCCCCCCACGGCTACCCTATACATATTCTCTACAATTTCTGAGCGTCAAAAATAAGAATCCAGAGGATACGTATACCTTTCTGAGGATCTGTGAGGGAGGGCATGATCCACAGGTTGAGACGTGTCTTCATGAGCTCGCAAAAGTTCCGATAATTGATGAGAAGTTGCCACAATCGCTCGCGATACGGTGGGTATTTTTATTTTGACGATTTTATGCGTTTTCTGGGTCCCATTGAGTACTTCTAGCTACTTCCTATCGGCATAAGAGTTATGCGGTTTTGAGAAATCCTTAGTTCCCATTTTTGTGACTGCGAAAATCATGTTGTAATTTTTTTACTGCTAAAATGGTTTTTTTGGGGTCCCAAGAACAGAATTGGATAGCTTTTGAAGACTTAAAGGGGCTACGAAATGCCAAAAATTGAGTAACGGCCCGAAAATCGGAGCCCTGTACGTCGGAGGCCTCTGTACACCCAGGGGCCCGGGAACCTCGCAAAATTTGAAATTGCCTGTTGTCACCTCGAAATCGCGGTCTCGGCTGTTTCTGGGCCAAATTTGATGATTAAAACACCAAAACTATTTAAAATTGAGTCAGGATTCCAGAAATAAGCTCAGAATCAGCGAATTATAGTGTTTTCACAAAGAAACCGGGCAAAAACAGCTTCGCGCAAAAATCGACAGAGTGAGGGCTCTCGTCCCGCAGCGCGCGCTGGCAATTTGCCAGAAATCAAAGAGCCCTCCCAAAAGGGCTTTGATTTGGCAGTTCGGAACCCCTTTAAGAATACGCTAGAGGTGATGCGGTCTTTCGAAATCTTATTTTTTCCCCTCTCTTACTGCCAAAAATCAGTTGCCTCGAGGGCAATGTCCTAAAATGTCAGGAAGCTTTAGGGATGCCGTGGGAGTTTTTCGAACTTTTTTACCACGATTCAACTTACTGGTTGGTAAAAATTACTATAACCTTTTTTAGCTCCTCTGGAAAACCTCTAATGATCTCGCTAATCCACGAATTGGGCGGCGATCTTCAAGGATATGTGAAATCTGCAGTCGACGTCATCTTTCGAGTTCATGCTTCTGTCCTCGGTGAGTCAGTTTGACGGTCAGTACGATACAGTCCTTTAGACAAAGCCTACTACGGCCTGAACGTGACAAACTCGATTATTCGTGACAATATCGGGAGTGGAATCGAGGCATGGGATATCAGAGACAGGACAGCACTCACTAATGTCTCTATACAATCAAATGAAGGACTGGCTGGACTGTTAATAAGAGATGGGGCAGCCGATATTTGGTTGAATGAGACGAGAATTGATGAGAATTGGGGTGATGGAATGAATGTTTCGTATGCTGGAGGGTCGATTACGGTCAATGGGACCAGTTTTAGGAGGAATCGATGGAGGGGTACGTTTTTTGGAGGGCAGTTGAAAACTTTTTATAAAAATGAAAATGATTGGTGCTTTTAAACCTTTAAAAATCGCTAAATTGGCAGCCAGTTTGTATAGAAAACGATGAGTCACTTCTTTAGAAATTCGAAAATGAATAAATTGGGTTCAAAATGCGCGAAAAAAATCGATGAATTGTTAGTCAGTTTATCTAAAAACAATAAGCTGCCTATTAAAGTATTGCAAATCGATAAACTAGCGCTTAAATTTTACAAAAATCGATAAAGTGCCTGTCAGTTTACCCAAAAATTAATAAAGCGCTTTTAAAATACCTTAAAATTGAGACCGTTGTATATTATGTACGTATATTATGTAAAAGTTACTAAAATAACCGTGAAGAACTAGACAAACGTTAGTTTCTCCGCTAAAAACCTGAAAAATCGTTAAACCGCCGGCCGAACCTGATAGAAAACATTTAAATGAGGTACCGAAAGCGCTATGGCGCAAAATACGTGCCAAAAAGTAAAAACTGAGGAACTGACCGTCACGTTAGCTAAAATGCGTTAAAAAATCTGGCAAATTTTTAAAATAAAAATTGCAGCGAGAATCGATAAACTGACTTCCATTTGACCTAAAAATGGCTAAATTGGCCTCTCACCTTTCAGGCGCCGCTTTCCACTTCAACGAAACATCTCCCTACCTTGCCCTCCACCATGAAATCATCTTCAAAGGCCGTCCCTCGAATAACATCTTTTACGTTCCGACGCGTGTCAGTGAGAATCTTTGGGGCGGAATATTAGTGGGCAATTTCTGCTATCCAGCCTACAGGAATATCGAACCAAAGGTATCCTTTTATTAAATCGAATTTTAATTTTATACCATTTTATCAAAATTTCTTTTTTAAATAATTGTATTTTGAATTCTATTGTTACTCTGGCACGCAACGCGCACTGTTTAGCCACATTTACCTGTCGTGATCAATTAAACCATGAAAAGAAAAAATTTCTAGCAAATCCAAAGGAATGGGTAACCGCGCCGCGACACGCACCGCGTCTCGGTTCCGCGACGACGTGCGCGTTGCGTGTCGCGGCGCGGCAAATTCTAGAAAGGCGCGATATAGTGCTGGCTTGCCGTGCCGCGACACGCAACGTGCAACGCGTACACCTCTTTTCCACCCCAAAAACATCGTAATCCATTAGGCAACGAAAAGGCGTGCGTGTGTGCGCGTTGCGTGTCGCGGGGCGGCAAAATTTTTTGGAAATGCCATGAAAATCCGAGTATTTAAAACACTTTTTCTAAATTAATTTATTTCCAGGTTCTAATAAATTGGGTTCAATTCGGAAAGAACGTCTACCATCCAGCCCTCGAAATATTTGCCTGTCAATCGGATCGAGTGGCCAAATCAATTGTGGATGTGACGGGGAACACTTTTGAGGGTAAGCAAAAAGAGTAGGGCTGTATTACATAGCGTAACTAATTAAACATTCGTTAACAAAACTCATTTTTCGCCCTTTTGGAGCTCGGGGAGTAGTTTCAGGTCGTAATCGTATAGTCCCAGGGCGAAATTAGGTTATACCGTATAAAAAAACTGATTTTTAGCCTTTCTGAACATTAAAGTGTAATTTAAAGTCGTAATCGCTTAAGTTTCAGCCCAAAGTGGATTATGCAGCATTTTTATACTGATTTTGAGGTTCTTAGGAGGTTCAAAAAGTTAAATTCACGCCAGACCGACGAAAAAGCCGCGAAAAACATTTTAATTTTGGCTTTTTCCTAGCAAACGGTTATGTAGTTTATGCGAAACCCTGCATTATCGATTTTCGGTGTTTTTTGAGAAAGTTACTAGGGTTTTACTGGATGCCAAAAAGAGTCAAAATAGTTGTTCAAAAATTTCCAGGATCGATTGGATGTCAGAAAGCCTAAAAATAGTTTAAAACATATTTTTCTGTCATTCATATCAATTTTGGAGGTCTGTGAAACGTTAATTACCCTAGCTGGACAGCAGGAAACTTAAAAACCACAAAAAACCCTTAAATCGTCAATATTTTTGCAGCAAACGGCGGGATGAGCCTCCGAATCCTTCCACTCGTCAATATGCACGCTATCATTTCGAGTAATCTCTTCATGGCAAATAACGACACGGCTCTACTCATCAAAAACTCAGCCCATCCGTGGCTGGGCAATCTGTATGCAGATGTGGCAATATCAAAGAATGCCTTCAAATTCAATCGAGGGCAATATATCGTGAATATCGGATTGAATGAAGATGCCCCAAATCAGAAGATGATCTTCAATCAACAGAATGAAATTAGGGAGAATCGGGTATTTAACCCGTATCCCTCGCTGCAACCAAGGAGTACACCGTATGCTGCACTCGTCGTGTCGAGCAGGTCAGAATTTCCATCAAAAAATCAAAATTAGTTTTAAAATTGGCAAACTGCTATGCAGGAAAAAATATTTACCCAAAAAACGGATTAAAAATCGGTTTGTGGCTTGTAGTTTTGATTGATTTACTCTAACTGATGACCTGCTTGACAAATATATAAAAATATTGGCATTAAATTTAATTTTAAAAATTCTTACCAAGTTTTTTGGGTAAACTGCCAGCCAGCAAATGTTTGAACAACACATAATTTTGTATTTTTCGGTCCACATTAACTAAATGGCCTTAACTGGCCATCATACTTTACAAATTCAATCGAGGTATTTGCATTAAAATTTATTTTTACGAAATTATATAGTTTGTTTTGTAATCTGCGAGACAGCTAATGGTAATGCAAATGCAGCTTTCAATTGGATGTCAGATTGATAAAAAAATCAATAAAAAATAAGCGGAATTCACGCTAAAATAAAAAGTGGTTGTTTTAACCTTGTACCGATTAAAATGGCGTATCAGATTGCCCAAAAATCGATAAAAACAAGCAAAATTCTCCTCAAAGTTAAAAAATCAAGCAAATCCAATTTTGCAGCAACGTCATCCTCCACCGGAACTGTTTCAAGAACCCCGAGGCCGAATACGAGATCGCCACCGAGCTACAAGAACACGCAAAGTCAATAGATGCCAGGGAGAATAATTGGGGTATCCCATTCCCATCCCAATTCATGAAGAAGATCTTTGATCAATTCCTCCGCTACAGTCTCGCCTCAATCGATATCGATCCATATGCGGCTGTTTGTAATCAAAGGAATCCCCATGTCACCAGACAACAAGAATACTTCCGTCCATTTCGGCCGAATGACGAGAGACCATTCGAGATTGGAGGCGTTGTTTTTGAGAATAATGATCTGCAAAAGGGAAGATATATCGTCACTTCGGATCTTCATGTTTCTCCTGGGGCTAGATTGGGCATTGCTGCTGGGAGTACTTTCGAATTTGCGCCGAATGTTGGAATGCTCGTTGAAGGTATGTCATTTGGTGTAATTCTATCGCGTAATCGCTTCGAAAAACCTGAATTACATGACGTAATCGTTAAAACAGTGGCAATTATACACTGGTCCACATAATTATGGAGCCACCCAAAATTTTTCAAAAATCTCGATTTCTGGCGGCTTTCAAGAAACACTTTCTATTAGTGAAATAAGCCGTATACCATCACAACTTTACACAACAAGTCCGTTTTTTGATTCGAGAACACAAAAATTTTTAACGAAGATTTTCGCCTAAAAGGCTCTTTGGAAAATCCACATAATTATGGAGCCACTCGTCTGCAATTCTTCTTTTTTTCGATATCCACACAACCATCCTGATTTATATTTTCCAGTAATTAATGGATCATCGTTTTGCCGGATGGCACGCGTGAAAGCCCTATCTGACTTTGAAAAGGGTAAAATTGATGCGAAATTGAAACAGGGCCTGTCGCATCGACAAATCGCTCCGGATATGGGCGAAAGCCACAAAATTATCGACAATTTCGCCAAAGATCCAGCTGGATATGGAACGGCAGTACACCCAGGCCACCCCCCACTCTTTTCCGATCGCCAAAAACGCTTCATAATTCGAAAGGCATTCAACCAAATCACGGCCGCTACCCGAATTAAAGCCGATTTGAAGCCGGATTTCTCGACAGCAACCATACGACGCGTGTTTTCGAAGAGGAACTTCATAAGATGGCGGAGAATGAATAAAGCGCCGATGCTCGACCCATGCCATCGCCAAGATCGTGTCGCAATTGCTCGGCGAAATCAGCGGATAGACTGGCCAAAAGTCAGGGTTCTTTAAAAGGCTCAAAATCTCTTCAAGTCATTTTTCCCGACAAAGAGAAGTTTAAATGTGATGACCCAGACGTGTTCCGCCACTATTGGTACGATTTGCAAAAAGACCAGCTCCGATTTGCCCGACGCAACTTTCGAGTTGGTAGCGTCTTGCTGTGGGCAGCCATTTCTTCAGAAGGACGAGTCAAATTGTGCTTCATCTCTCATAAAATGAACCGAGTCGACTACCGACAAGCGTTGCGATGGGGAATTCTGCCATTTTGGCGAAGAAATCGGAACCGAAGGTTCATTTTCATGCAAGATGGGGGTCCCCATTCGAACTCAGGACTGGTGTCGAAACCGAGGAATCGATCTCCTGGCCTGCCAGCCTGTTCCCCTGATCTGAACATCATTGAAAACGGTTGGGGGTACATGGTAGGCAAGATGTAACATGGAAACAAGACTTATCGGAACTTAGGCCAGCTCAAAAAGGCCATAATCGACGCGTGGCAGCAAGTCGACCAGAAGCTGCTCGATAACCTCCACCTGAGCATGGACAGCCGTGTTTTCCAGCTCGTACAAAGAAATGGAGCCGCCACCGATAATTGAATTTGCTTTGAGCAATTTGTTATCGATTTTTCATATTTTATAAAAAAATTACCGGAGTGGCTCCATAATTATGTGGATTTTCCAAAGAGCCTTTTAGGCGAAAATCTTCGTTAAAAATTTTTGTGTTCTCGAATCAAAAAACGGACTTGTTGTGTAAAGTTGTGATGGTATACGGCTTATTTCACTAATAGAAAGTGTTTCTTGAAAGCCGCCAGAAATCGAGGTTTTTGAAAAATTTTGGGTGGCCCCATAATTATGTGGACCAGTGTATGTCGTGATCGATTAGACCCTGCGAAATAGATTGCGTAATCCTTTAGACTTTTGCGCTTAAAGGCAACAATCAGCGTTATTTTGAGAATTTTAGGGCGTAATCGATCATAAGCAACGAATTCAATAGCGTAATCGGTTGTACCTTTCAATTTAACTGGCTGTAACCCTGCCAATTAGATAGCATAATCGGTTTGAATCCGCCAATTTAGTAGCCGTAATCGATTAAACCGTTGTTTTAAAGGTCGTCTTTAAATCGATTAAACAAACCGAATGAAATGGCATAGCCGGTTAAACCTCGCGAATTTCATCCCGTAACCAATTATACCATGTAATTAAATGTCGTAATTGTTCAAGCCAGCGCAATTTGGTGCCTTGATAGATTAGAATCTACGCGTTTGGTGGCGTAATCGGAATCGTAATCTTTGACATCGAGGTATTAGGTGGCGTAATCGGATACACCCGAATTAAATATCGTAATTGGAGTAGGACGGGCTGATTAATTACCTAGCGTAACTGGTTAGCCGCTTCAAATTAGATGTGCTAATCGGTTAGACCACTTGCCGCTCACGTCCAATTGAATTGCGTAAGCGGTTAGGCCTCGACCGAGAAATTAGCTGGCCGGATCGGTTAGATCCTTGAACAGTTAGCTGGCGTAATCGGTCAACAAAAATTGGGTTCAAAAACGATATCCTTTTGTTCAGGTGAGATGCTGCTGACAGAATACCACGAAGGAGATTGGACTCCAAATGAGAAGACAGTCTTCACGGGACAACCATTTGAATTGCCTTTAAGCGAGAGAGTACGACTGATAGATGATGACGGAAATGATCGAACGGTGGAAGGGAGATTGGAAGTGATGTTGGAGGGGCAATGGGGTACTGTATGCAACAGATCCTGGACCGCACAACACGCACTTACCGTATGCAATCAATTGGGTAGGTTATTTCAAAAATAAGAAATATCGCAATAAAAATCAAAACCAGAAAAGCCCTCCCCCCGATATTGGAAAAGCTCCTAAAAGTCAAAAACAAATGATTTTTTGAAAAGGCTTGAAATAGCGTTATTTTGCTCTTTTAGGCCTATCAATGGACCCGGAATACTTTGAAAATTGGCGAATCTTCCCGCCAGCCGGCGACCTGCCAATGTTAATGGATAACATCAGATGTGAAGAGAATGAAGTTGATATCACAAAATGTCGATATGATGGATTGTGGCATAATGTGGGGGCTGGGTGCAGACGGACTGAAGTTGTTGGCATACGGTAAGTATTTTTGCAGTTTACTTTTAATAGAATTAACCCTAAAACAAAATCTAATTTACCAATTTCGTAAATTTTTCAAATTTAAAATGCAGCTCTACAAAAGTTTCAAAAAATTTGAAACACATCAAATTTCTTGAATTTATAATTTATTGAAAACGATGCAAGTATTATTGATATGTAAAATTTTAATTATCATTTTTTTCAGCTGCGTCCCGCCACGCTGGGCGGGTGTACGGTACTCACTCCTCGCCAATCCTCCAATGGTCACCGGCCAGCCGACCATGAAGAATTGGCTCATCGAGAAAGGTACGTCCTTCCATCTTGGAGTCTGTAGTTTGACTCCAAACTACAAAAATGACTTGACTGCATGCCAGGCGATAAGAAAAATACAAACTACAAACCTCCGAGCCTGAACAAAACTTTTGGAAGCTTTGGTTAGACGACCGGCCAGCCTAGCTCGAGAGCGATAAAAATTGTAATCTGTAGTTATAGACTCCAAACTACAAAAATACTTAAACTGTCGGCCAGTCAACAGTACGGAATACAAAATACAAAAATCAGAGTTTAAATAAATTTTTTGATGCCGGAAATCTTTGATCTGGGAGCCAGACTGGCAAAACGTGCTAAAAATTGTACAGGGTGTCCCATAAAAAAGCACCCCTCCGGCATTTCGCCTCCTTCCATCCAATCGGTCCCATACTTTGCACAAGGGTGTATCAGACCCTAAATAACCACAATCCTGAGTTATAGCCGGATTGAGACAGTAGTTTTCAAGTTATTGCCAAAATCCTATTTTTTTACGCGATTCTTAACAGATTTTTCGGCTATCTTTTTGGACTTTGCATCGATTTGCATCGACTTCCGGCTGCGAATCCCTAACTTCGCTTAATATCGGGGGTGACTTTGCGTTACAAAAATTGTTGAAATCAACGGTTATTTCACTAATTTTTATCAGAAAAAATCTCTAGGGGTAAAGCAGGTTTGCCGCTTCATTTTCACTTAATATTCGAAGGGTCGATTTCGACGAAAACCATATGAAAAACGGATAATAAAGTTTTTTTGTTGTATCTCGAAGATTACTGTAGCTGGCGGGCTATGACTCAGGATTGTGGTTATTTAGGGCCCAATACACCTCTGGTCCAAATTTGGGACCGATCGGATGTAATATGGCGATATGCCGGAGGGGTGCTTTTTTATGGGACACCCTGTAGTTTGTGGTTCAGACTGGCTCCAAGCTGCAAAAATAGGTTAACTGTATGACAGTGAAGCCAGTATTGCAAGAAAGTCAATGTTTATCATCTGTAGTCTGTATTCTGCAGTCCATTCCCTCAAAAAATCGCCCCATTTTCAGCCGGCCTCTTCGATTTCCGGAAGCCGGAATTTTCCGCGGCACTCCAAGTCGATTGGAACTACCATACGTTCAACAATTTGGAGATACGGTAGAATGAAACGTACTATGAAAACAAAAAATGACAAATACAGGGACAATTTCTGGGATGGGCTCGATATCGTGTACAACGATTTGACGAAGAAGCCGACGATCAGGAATGCGATCATTCATAATAATCGAAGGAATGGCATACGGTTACGATCGAATGGGTTGACCATTGAAAATGTGAGTAATATTACAGCTAAGTAGAAATTAAATTTTTCTTGTTCTAAACTAAATTTTTATTTTGAAACGTATTACTGTAGATTTGAATCCACTATAGCAAAATTAAGAATACGGTAGAATTGAGTTAATTTAGGTAACAATCTCGAATTCTGGCCTGGCCGGCGTCCATTATAATTCGATGGTATCGACGGGATTACAGAGGGATATTGTCTCGTGGTTGGACCGGAAGGAACAGCCCGATTTGGAGGTATACTGTAGTTTAGAGTGTAGCGTAGCTGTGAGAAATCGGCACGGTATTTCCACAAAGATAATATCATTGACTGTCAGTTTAGATACGCCACAGGGTTAGAAAAAGAGAAAATTGCTCTAAAAATGCTTACCGTAACCCAACCAGGCAAATCTACCCAAAAAATTACGATGTTTTCAGAATCGCGGCCAAAATTCGGAAGTTTTTGGGGAATTTCGTTATTCTGGATAGAACTGTATTTAATACGATTGAAATTACCATAGCTTTAATTTTTCAAAACTTGGTCATGCAGTTTTTCCAGCAATAAGCCCTTTTTCCACAAATTACCGTCAAACATAGTTTTTAAAGTATTCAAAAAAGTTTTTCTTTGTAAATTTCATTATTCTGCATGATACTGCATTCAATAAATTAAAAAAGACAGCTTTGGTAACCTATATCCTTTTCTAGGCAAACAACGTCTTTGCCATCCCCTCAAAAGACCTGGCTCGTCTCGAAGTTCTCGAGTCACATCTCAATCAGCGTAAATTCCTGGTGGCCATGGTGAATGGGGATTGTCCATTTGGTAGGCAGACAATACATAAATCGAATAATTTAATAAATACCTACAGTAACGTACGAGGAATGTGTACACGAGATGACATTGGAAGCATCGGGATTCGAATACGGGATGGCCAGTCGATTGGCGGTCCAGGTCAGATAGCCGATTTTTTTTAGGGAATTAACAATCTAACCTTCACTGTTCCTTTAAAATGGTCCAGAAAATGATTTTTAGATCGTAAACCCAGCGAGTAATGTCTCTGATGAAGAAGCGATAATTACCGATCCGATCACCGGAAAAACCTACTCGGTAAGTATTGTAATTTTAAGGAATTTCTTTGGTTTCTTAGTTTAATTTGAACCTTTGATTTTCCGACATACAGTACACCGAAAAACAGTGAAAAATTTCTAAAAAGTAGTTTCAATCGTCGAAAAAAATTCAAAAAATCGAATTTTCGCAAAATTTTAAAAATTTGGGATTTGAATGAAATGGCGCATTTTTCTCGAAAAACGAAACTTTTTTCCTTCCTGGAGACTGGGGTTTTACATTTCCTGTGTTACCGTATGCCATAAACCCCAATAAAATTCCGGAAATTTTGAAAATTTGTTTTTTTTAAACCAAAAATAGAAATTTTCAAAAATACACTTTTAATTTTTAAAAACGCATTTTTCGTTTTTCTGTCGTACAGTATGCTAATAAATGGCTAAATAAGGGCTTGAATTTAGGTGCGCAAGAACCAGATCGAATTCCCAGTTACTTCAAAAGGCCAATCCCTCCACCTCCGCTACACCAGAAGTTGGGGCCAGCCAAAGATGGTCTTGCTAGTGCTTTTCCTCGACGGTAAACTTTCAATATGATGTGTACGATTCTTCTGACGTGTTGATGAATTTAAAGCCTATAAAAATAAAATTTAGACAACAATTTTGAGTTATGCAGGTTATGCAGTTTTTTGCAGCCCAAGAGTACCTGGATCGATTTGTGCACGTTTTGGAGTCGCGGATCGATAATAACCAATACGGAGTGTCATCAATTCATTACAAGTCAGTGATTTTGTCTATCTCTCTCTCTCTCTTTGTCTCTCTCTCCATCTCTCTGTCTCTCCCTCTCTCTCTCTCTCTTATCTACCTGTCACCGTCCCTTTAAAACCGATTTTTTAGCAATCAGACGATGTTTGACGGTACACTGACGAACAGATGGTCTTATGAGAAGCTATGGTTCCAAAAGGTATCCAAATTTAGCTTTAAAGGAAACGGGAAGGCATGATCTGCCAACCGATTACGCAATGAAATTCCTTACTCAACTGAGTCGCGTCAATATGATGGGAAAGGGCTAGCGCCACTTTAAAAGGGGTTACAGTTTTTGTTTTGAATTTCTAGTAGCTAATTGTATAGCGTAATCGGTTGACTAAACAGCCTTCCTGGTGCCTTTAAAATCGTGATTTTAGGTGAATTTCACCCGGAATAAGGAGGCTGTTCTCTGGATGCAAAGTCCACAACATATCGTGCCGTGGGGAACACCGATGGCTCAGGTCTGTTAACAGGAATTTACTATAAAAAATACAAATATAAAAATGAAAAATGTAACTTAAACAAATAGATTTTTCGATTTCTAAAATTTGAATTTTCTTAATAAATTTTTCTGTTTGGTTTAACCAAATTTTCCTCTATTTTTTATAAATAGTAATACCGTTTTTTAATCTTATTTTTTTTAGATAATGTACCACATCGATAACTGCTCAATTCACCACAATTCTGGCCCTCTGGTCGAGACGCATTGGGATCTATTTTCATCGGCCAATGTGTTCCACTGGAATTTCTGGTCGGCAGATTAGACGATAAAAATACAAAAAAAATATTTTTAGGTCCAACACCTTTGCGAACAATACAAATTCTGGCGCATCGGTCAGGTTGCCGGATCCTTATGATGTGACGGCTAGACATCAGGGGCACACGTTTTTGGTGAGTTTCGTTCTGGGTCTCTCTAACAGCTTGCGTCTCTCTTTCTCTCTCACTCTCCCTCTCTCTGTCTCTATCGCTCTCTCTCTCTCTCACTCTCTCACTCTCTCACTCTCTCTGTCTCTCTCGCTCTCTCACTCTCTCACTCTCTCTCTCTCTGTCTCTGTCGCTCTCTCACTCTCTCTCACTCTCTCACTCTCTGCTCTCTCGCTCTCTCACTCTCGCTCACTCACTCTCTCTGTCTCTCTCGATCCCTCTCTCACTCTCTTTCTCTCTCTCTCGCTCGCTCTCTCTCTCTCTTGTTCTCGCTCTCACTTTCTCGCTCTCTATCCCGCGCTCTTTCTTTTTCGAAGGTCCCGGCAAGTCATGACAATGGTTTTGCCATTGCGTAATCGATTACGGTGCGATACGCGATACCTTCCCAGCGCCTCCAACCTAAAATTCCATTAACTTCCAGATGACGGAGAATCGTTTCGAGAACAACGAAGGTCTCCGTATCCTCGTCGACGGTTTCCATTCCTGGGTCAATATATCTTCCAATAATTTCACCCAAAATACTGCCCGGCTGGACTCTGGGCTGTATGAATTGGCCGGGATGGAGAAGGACATCATCTTCGAGAGGAACAGATTCCATGGCAATTGGGTACGTTAGTTTGAGCGTAATTTAAACTGGCAGCCAACGTAAGCTACGACCTACAAAAAAAACATAAAGAAAGTTAAGAAATCTAAAATGTGCATTTTTGAGCCAAAAATTGCATAAACTGTATAACCTAAAATCTTAACCTAGCCCTTTGGAAACCGAGTAAAATAGCAAAAAATTGTTAACTGCCTCACAGTATAGACAAGTCACGGATTTTTACCGCCCAAAAATCTATAATTATATTTTTTATGCTAACTTTTTTTAGGGCCATTGGCTGCTGAAAATGAACATGGAAAGTCAGAGCGTGCGCAATGGATCGAAAAATCTTCCGGCCTGGATCCAGTACAACTATTTTGAAGGAAATAGGTTCATCAAGGTATGGAAATTTGCAAAATCCTGAAATATAGGCTTTAAAATCGGTATTTTGACAAAAAGCAAAAAAGTTTGACTTCGGCCGGGATCGAACCCGGGCCATCTGAGTACCAGTTTAAATAAAAATCGGGTTTCTGAGCAAAAAGCAAAAAGTTTGGCCCCGGCGGGAATCGAACCCTGGTCGTCTGCCTGGCAGTCTAACTCACTAACCACTTGACCACCCAAAAATTCCAAGAATCACCTAAATTCGTGAAATTTCAGGACGACGGTGAATTCGTGGATATGTGGCCCCGTTCGTACGCTGTCGGAATATTTGGGACTCAACGAGCCGACGTTCACTTCAACCGATTACGCAACGTATTGATGGACTTTGAGCTGGTGGCCGGGTGTACGGTAGGGGAGGGAGAGGGGGTACGGTAATTACAGTATTTTATTTATAGCCAATTCGCGTGCTGGACGAGATGAATGCCACGTATAATTGGTTCGGATCTGGGAATGATGCCGAAGTGGCGCAGCGGGTTTTTGATTTGGGTGAGTTTTTTAGAAGTTTAAGCGAAATTTTCGGTTTTAAAAGTATGATTAAGTCAGCTGTTAGCCAGTTAGCAGATCTAGCAAAAAAAACGGGCTAGAAATTAGCATAAGTTGGCCCTAAAAACTGGACAAACACCATCAGTCGTTGTTTTTTGGAAATAAATCGAATTTCCAAACATTTCTCTGCTAATTTTTCTGATAGAAGCCTTGGAAAAAAACGAAAAAATTACAATAAGATTAAAATGAAGTACGAAAATCGGCCAAGTGATTTTCCAAACTTTCAAAATTAAAAAATTTGACAATTTTACAATCTGGAAAATTTTGCTTTGAAGATTTTTTTTTGGATGTTACTGCCCCTTTAAAAGCAAAAATAATTTTATTGATTTTCTAGCTAATTTTTATCGAATTTTAGACGATTGGAACATCTACACCGTTGCCAATTATTCGCCCTACTTCGCGACCGAGGAGATGTTTATGAGTTTCTGGTGGAAACCGAGGATCGTACGTTTTTTTCACTTAATTTTGAGCACATTTTCTATCTAAAATTAATAACCGTATTTTTGTAGGGTCAGCTCGTCTACCCACAATTCCCCGAGCCTTCCGGGTTGGATTTGAAGGGGAGAATGTGGCAGGACAAGACGCTGAAACTCGAGATTGAGCAGTGAGTGACAGTTTTGGTATTTTAAAGGGATCGGCAAGGCAAGAAAAGGTGAAGCTACAGAAATTTTTGTACTTTGTAGTCTAACTGACTCGTATCGATGGTCTTAAGCTATGTAATGCTGCAATTTCGAGCCTTTTTGAGTTATGCAGTTTTCAAAAATTTGGTTCCATTTTGAAGAGACCTGATAGAGGTCGATTGGCTGATTGCCAATTAAAAATTTCTCTGCACTTTCTTGTAGTTTGTAGTCCAACTGGATATTTCGACGCCTTTTGAGTCATGTATTTTTCAAAAATCCATCACCTTCTTTCAGATGGCCAACGGCCCCATGGTACAACCGTCCAGTACGGCCATTCCGCATCGTTCGCGATCTAACAATTATGCCCGGGGCTACACTGACAATTGAGAGCGGCGTTGAGGTGCATATCTGGCCAAATGTACGGATCCTCGTTCTCGGCAATTTGATTGCCGACGCGACGTTCTGGGAACCGATTAGGTGAGGAAATTCAATTTTTAGCTAGATCGTCTGCCAGATAATGTACAAAACTACCGACTGACTGTCAATTAGAAAGAATCCAGACTTACCGTAGCCTTCTAATCTTATTTTTTAGATTCAAACCGATCAACACAACAGAATACGGAGAGAATCGAGGGTTGATGAGGGGACGGTATAAGCGGGCTATCGACAGGTAAGTAAATGGGATTTTATTTCGTAGTCTGACTGGCAGAATGTCAAATGGCATCAAAAATTTCCAATCTGGGCTACAAACTGCAAATTGCCGACCAGTAGAACGACCTATCATACCAAATTTTCGATTATTTCCAAATTCGATTTACCAAAATGCATTTTCAGATCCCGCCCCGACCCGTTGTACGCCTCATTCCCTCAACTCAATCGCTACGATCCGTACTACCAGAAGTTCTCGGTGCACCTGGATACAGATGGGGCAAAAACGTCAAAAGCCGGCTTCCTCCAGATCTACAATGCGACCAGTGGAGAGATTGTGCCGCTTTGCGACCGGCAATTTACATTGCGTAATGCACAGGTTTGTATAGGCCGCTAAACCGTGGCTTCTGGTCCTTTAAAGGGACATGGAAGGTTGGCTCTGGCTTACCTATGGATTTTGTCACAGCGCGGGCGCCTGGAATTCAATTGCGTAATCGATTACGCCACGTTAATGGCGGTTAGGCAGCGTGCGGCGCGTTACGGAAAAATACCTCGAAATATATAGTCGAAAAATCTATAGACTAGCCTTGTCTGCTCCTTTAAAATGACAAACTGGCCTGGGCGCTACGGTAATTCCGTAAAAATTCTATCCATTTTGCCATTTTTTTATTTTCAACCCAAAAAATCGACAAACTGCCATGCAAACTACCGTAATCCCATAAAACTTATTGTATTTAGGTAGCGTGCCGTGAATTGGGTTGGCCGACAGAGAATGCGTATCAATGGGTGACACCCCGGTGGGAATGGAACCCAAAGATACGCATTCTGAAGACATATGCTGAACCGAGGGAATGCAGAGGGGACGAGCCGAGGATGGACAAGTCAGTTGATGCCTTCAATGGCCCTTTAAAAACCTGAAAAAGCTAGTCAAATTCTGGTAAAAACTGGGGTTATGCAGTTTTCGTGTTTTTGCCTTCAACGGGCCTTTAAAAACAAAATTCCGTAAATTCCGTAAATTTTGCATCTGCATAACAAAAAAGCCTTCTAGCAAAGTTAAATTAAATTTTGTTTGTGGGATTTGGAGTTATGCCCTTTTTGGAGATTCAGTCTTCAATGTCCATTTAAAAGCCCAAAATCCCTGCGAAAATTAAGAATTTGGATAGCATGCGTGCCAGTTTGGCAATTCGCAAAAATTCCGAAAATTCTAGGCTTCAATGGTCCCTTAAAATGTTAATTTCTTTCAGATGCCCGCTCCGTTTCTCCGGCAATACCTCAGAATGGCAATGCATGGACAATGAACACTTCAATTATATTTATTGCGCTCCAGAGACGAGGGTCAACAGGTGAGATCTATCTGTCACCATCCCTTTAAACTCGAAATTTTTGCGATTTTATCGGATTTTGAGCTCCAGCAGGTTTTCGCGATCGAAATCTTCCTGTCACACTCCATTTAAAACACCTGTTTTAGTGATTTCATCGGTTCCTGGGGCGGTATCGTGTTCGCAAACGATCAAGTCGACCAGAATGGTGATAGTCAAGAAACGGAACGGAGTGTGTTGAAACATGTCGAAATCGTTGGAGGCGGGAGGGCGCATAATAGCTCTTGGCAGGTACCGTAGTTTTCAAAACCACTTTTTTGAAATTTTTATGTCGAAATCTGCCAACTGATAGACAGTTGAAGCATTGCAAGTGTCCTTGTTCCTTTAGAAGCGTTTAAAAATATGAAAATCGTATTTTTGGATTCTGAAAATTTTTAAACTGAAGATAATTTTTAATGGCGGGAAGTATAACGATCGCAAGTGTCACTGCCCCTTTAAAATGATTCAAAAAATCAAAATTTGAAATTTAGGGCGGAGCGCTTCTGATGTTCCATCGTTCTCCATTTATCGAGGCGGTTAATGTGACGAATAGCAGTATGAATGGCATCGAGGTAAAAATCCTCTCGCTCTCTCACTCTCTTTCGCTTTCTCTCTTGCTTCCTGGCTGCCAGACGGCCGTTTCTGAAAGTTGGGAGCAAAAAGGAAAAAGCCTGCCGCGGCGGAGAGTCGAACCTGGGTCCTCAGATTGGCAGGCCGGCGCGCTGACCACTTTACCACGGGTTTCGGGCCAGTTTTTCGGAAAATTGATTTTTCTTGTTATCGATATTTCTCTCTCTCTATCTCTCTCTCTCTCTCTCTTTCTCTCTCTCTCGCTCTCTGGCTCTCTCACTCGCTCTCACGCTCTCTCTATCCCCCTTTTTCAGATCATAAACCCATCCGGCAACGTCCTCCTAGTCAACGTGAACGTAACAGACAATAATGGCCGTGGTATCTCTATCCTGACAGCCAATCTACAAGCCAATAATGGAGGTTAGTCCCTCTTTTCATGGCGTAATAATTTATCCCCTATTTTAGACCCTCCCTCGGCCCCTCAATCCCTTCCCTATTTCGCTAGAGGGCTAGTTGACATGTGTGCATCCACAAAGAAGATTGATATCAAGGGCCGTCTTCTTCTCTACTATAAATATGATGCCCATCCGGTGGATTGTGTCAAGATATTCTCTGCCGGAGGGAAGCATATTACGTTCCGGTTCTTGCAAGTGAGTTTTAAAGGGACCGGGAAGCCAGCAGGTCAGGATTCAATGGCGTAACTGGATAGACATGAGATTTTATTACATAGCGTAATCGGATAGACATAAAATGCCCAAATTTCATGCCGTAATCAGTTGGAAATAGCATTTTCCTATCGTGACCGGATAAAAATGGGATTTTATTACATAGCGTAACCGGATAAGCACAAATTTTTTTTCCTGGTGTAACCGGATAAGCATAAAGATTTTAGATTTCATTGCGTAACCGGATACAAATCACCGTTTTCCTAGTGAATTCTGAAATTTTCTGAAATTGCTGACGTAACCGGTTATACATCAATATTTTTCCATTTTCTAGCGTAACTGGATAGTAGCCTCACTCGAAAGACAGAAATCAAGCCTTCCTTATCCCTTTAAAAGCTTAAAATATGCATGAAACAACGATTTCTATTTCAGGTGAACCTCTACTCTGCCCCTACAGACCTTGGGCGTTCCGATGCCCTACGAGTTTACAGCTCTGACAGTATGCAGCCCTCGACATTAATAGCCAAATATGCCCGAGATATTGATGGGATACCGCAACCTGGTAAGCAGTTGGTACTTTAAAAAGACTGGAAGGTGAAAATCTACAGGAGTTTCCTTGTTTTACCGGGTCTGGACGTCAAAAACGGCATCTAAATCGAAATCAATTTAAAGTATGATAGGTATACATCAAGTCCTTTAGACACGACCCCGTTCTCTCAACCAATCGACAATCCAAGCATCTCCCTTCTTGCCCTCCATTTTCGAGGAACAGCAGCCGATCCGCATTACGGCTTCATAGCGGAGGTGGCTGTCGCGTCGACTCCGGCTGAAAATGGTTAGTGGACTACAAACTACAAGCTACGACCTAACCAGTTTGGTACAATGTGTTACAAAACACAAACTACAAAATTCGCGTTCAGGCTACAAAATTTCGTTTTAATTTCGCTGCCAATGCAAATTTACGCCATATACTACAAACTACACCTAATTGACAGCCTAAAATATAGTCCAAAGTACAACTAGGCTAGTTCAAGCTACAAACCACATTTTTCAGCTGGTGTCGGAGAAGTGGTGATCGCAGCCGCTCGAATGGACAATAATGACCGGGGAGGCGTGCGTTATGAGAATACTGGCGAATTGAGCCCGAAGGTGGTCATTGGTACGTTAGCCGTAATTTTCTACGTTTATCTGTCTGTCTGTATGTCAATTTAGCTCTCGATCTCGTTGTCTACTATGAATTCTTTCTGTATTTCTTCCAAACTACATAATTGTTCAGATTTTCTGGCCGCCCTCAAATTTCAATTCTTTAAATTTGTCGATTTCTCTGTCTGTATGTCAGTTTGTCTATCTGTCCACCAAACTACATTTTTCTCTTGTTTTCAGAAGAATGCTCAATGTTCCGCAACGGTATCCATTTCTATGGTAATATCTCCACTACAATGCACGCTGCCTCTTTTTACCTCCACAATACGCAGCTTCTACTCTTCCGCGCGAATTCGTTGGCGCATAATCGGTCCGTTTTTTTTACGTTTTTGGATAGTTTGACTGCCAGACTGGCTAGCAGAGATTATTTGAGAATTTTTCGCCGACGAAAAGTCCGAAATTCGAGGAAAATCAAAACCTGCATAACTTTTCCAAAAAACTGCATAACCCAAAATAAAAACTGCATAAATTTTCAAGGACGAATTTTTTATGCTGTTTTTATAGCTTGACTGGCAGACTGATTAGCAGAGTTTTTTTTGGAAATTTTACAAACCCGAAAACGCGAAAAACTTCTGAAAAATCGAAAACTGCATAAACTCCAAAAACGGTATAATTTTCAGGGGCGGTATTCTGATCGATTCGATCTCTGAGACAGCAATGGCTCGTCTAAATGCCGTCATCAAGGCCAATCTATTCTCTTTCAACACAAATAGTACCGTCATCGAGCTGAAGGGCAATGGATTCCAGGTACGCGTCTAGAGGTGTATTTTGTAGTCTACCATCCAATTCAGAAAGTGACGATGGTTAACAACGTTATTTCGCACAACTACGCTTTCTACCACGATACGGTCTATGCGGTGGATGTCATTGTGAATATGACGAGGAATACCATCACGAATAACACTGGGCTGCATACGGTAGGTTTTACGGTACTTTGGAGACCGGGATTTGATAAATTAACTGTTTTCACCTGAAATTTATATTTTGGTTGCCACTTAATAGTTTTCCACAGAAAAATTAGACTACAAACCATAAGAACAAGTTACGCCGTTCTTAAAATACCCTGCTTTCACTAAATAGAGAAAAATGCGAATTTAGGCTACAAAGTACAAATCAAATTCTTGTAGTTTCCGCTTTTGGCTGTCAATTGTAATTTTTTAATTAAAAATCTGGCTACAAACTGCAAAAATGACGCTTTGTGGAGTTTTCGAATTCAATAATTGTAACTTTTTTTTGTGAAAGGCGTCGTTTCGGCCGACAATTAATCGATTAAACTAAAATTTGGACTACAAAATACATTTAAAATTTATTCATTTCCCTTTTTTGATAGCCAATTGACCGTTTTCAATAAAAATCGAAGCTACAAACTACAAAATAAAGTTACGCAGTTCTAATTTCCCCCGAATTTTCAGCTTGACATCCGCACAGCAAAATCGAAGGGCAATTCCGAGCCACACCTTTTCCTCCGGAACAATTTGGAGTTCAACCATGCCCTTGGTCATGGCCATCAATATATCCAACGATATGGCCATGAATTGGGGTGGATGGACGAGTTCCAACTTTACAAAAGACCGAAGAGACAGGTGGGCCATATAATTTGTAGTTTGTATTTCGCGTATATTTTTAGGTCTCCTACCCCGTGTTTCGTCAAGAGGGAGTGTCATTCGATTGGTGGACACACGTCGATCAGAATACGGATCGATACCGTAGTACCGTATATGCCGGAAGCTCCAGGCAACACTTCTTGGTACGGTAATTTTAAGGTTCTAGACAAAAAAAACCGATGTTTTCGAGTAGAATTTGTCAAACTGGTCGTCATTAAATCAATTGGAAACACTTTTGAAGTATTTTGAAGCTTTTTGGGGGTAGCGGGGATCGAACCCGGGTCTTCTGGGTGACGGTCTAAACTCTTAGCGACTAGGCCACGGAGCAGCTTTTTTAAAAGGTGAGATTTGGAGGCTATGCTTTCTGGTAGCCAATTTATCCGAAGTTATTATATTTACGAAGAGTGCAAATCGCCTCGGCGGGGATCGAACCTGGACCCGCTGCCTGTCAGCCTAAGCTGTTATCGACTGCGCCAGTTTGCAACTCAAAAATTTTTTGCCGATAAAATTTAGCTAACTGTAGGCCAGTTCTCTCAAATTCACCCTCAAATTCACCTCTATTTTTTCAGGAAAACGTGTTCAACAACCCGGCGAACGAGCTCGACCTGACCACCTCAAATCGGACGAATTGGGATATTGGAGCAGTAGATGCAAAGGAGAACTATTGGGGATGGCCATCAACAGAATCTGTGGCTGCTGGACGGATAAGGGATGGGGCTGATCTACCATATCTCATACGTGTAGAGTACACTCCCGTACTCGAATCGAATACTTCTCTCATCGAAGGGGATTGCCGGGCTGGCTGGTTCCAGGTATGTTTTTTAAAAGGGCTCGACAAAACAGGGATATGGATTTTTCGCCGATCTCCCCCGCGAGGCGTGACCGTCTTCCATTGCGTAATCAATTACGCCAGAGAACGACTGTTGGACAGCGTGCGCGTCGCGTGACGGACGAACGCGAAAACCTATTGAAATCCATAGCCACCTTATTCAGTAGCCATTTTTCCGCAACGCGGTACGCAACGCGAGCGTCCGTAACTTCATGGCGTAATCAATTACGGCAGCCTTATGTTCGTGGCGCTACGTACGCGTTGCGTGCCGCGCGTCTGACAAAATCCATAGAAAATCAATAGAAAAAATCCCAGGCTTTTAAATTTTGCTGCCGCGACACGCAAGGCGCGAGGCGCTTTTTAATTACGTAAGCGATTCCACCTATTAGCGGCTCAGCCGTCGCGCTTTGCGGAAAAATTTAAGAAAATCTACTATATATAAATTTCTAATGTCCGTCCGCCCGCGTCCAGGAATTCAATCCCGCCGCGAACCCCCTGAATACCGTAGTCGGGGGCTGAAAATTTTCACCGGAGCCATGGCGTTTCGCTTTTCCCCCCGGGAGGGCCAGCGCTGAACCCCCGCGGAGCGGGGGGTCAGCGCTAGTAAAAGTCTAAAAAACAATGCCTTACCGTAGCCTTTAAGTTTCACCTTTTCTTATCTGGCAATCGTCTTATTGCATCACGCAAATTCTTACATTTCAGGTGGGAAAAGAAGAATACAAGAGTTGCTACCTATACGTCGGTGGAGCGGCAACATACGAGAGAGCCGTGGAATATTGTGAAGAGCTGGGAGCCTTCCTACTCTATCTGAATGATGATGATCCAAGACAAAAGGAAATGGCCGAGAGGATAGATATGATGGAGAGGAGGGGGCTGACCGAGTTGGAACAGACGACACCGTGGCTCAGGGTACGTTAGGTTCTCCGGCTTCCAAGTACCTTTAAAAGTGGCGGAGCATGTTTTCGCTGGTCATATCGTGCTTACTGGGCCCCAGACTACAACTTTGGCCATTGTGAAACTATTTTCCAGCGAAAATTAAGTTATACAGTTTTTCGCAAATTGCCATCCGCGAAGCATTTTTGGCTTCAGCGCTCCTTTAAAATGAGCGCGCTAAATTTTTTTTCATTCCGGGTAGGTTACTTGGACTATCAACTACAATGTATAAATTTTGGGATAAGCTCTAAATAAATATTTCAATTATGCAGTTTTTTTTTTACAAAAAGTCCCATTCGCTCTATTTTCAGACGCGGGACGACATCCACATCTGGGTTGGGTCTGCCTCATTTGCTTGGCCACAGTGTGGATATCTTTCGACAAGGACGAGCAGGACACAATATGACAATTGCCAAGCCTTGCGACCATTTGTTTGCGAGAAGGGTGAGTAGCGATCGATTTCAAGCTTACAGTGGACAATTTCAATTTTCCCCTGACAATTAGATCATTTCAAAAATTGTTAACTTTACTCAGAACTTTACTATCTGCCGGTTAAGCCTAGAAAAGCGTTAAAAACCTGGAAAATAGTCTATCTACCGTTGGAGCCTCATCATACCAAATTTCCAGGTATCCTCGCCTACAAAGAGCCTCCACTATGGCGTCGTGAAGTCGTGCTATTTGTCGTCCTTGCCGTGGTGGCCATCGTATTCCTGATCCTTCTGGGATGTTGCTGGTGTCTCAAGTCAAAGCGTCGTACCGAGGAAGCCATCGTACGCAAGAATATCATGAGGGCCAGTATGGATTTGGAAAAGTGGGTTATGGTTCTTAAATGGTGCCTGCTAGTAGACCTCCCGAACCCCCCACCATTTACCCCCAAGGACCCCCATTTTGACCCCCATCGCAACACCCACCAAAACCCCCCAACAGACACCCTGCCAACCAACCCCAATGGACCCCCACTGAACCCCCCATTCCAACCCCCAAAGACCCCCATTGGGCAAAATTCTGGCTATTTTAAGTTAATGTTTTTAAGGTTTAAAATCGTTTCAGCCTTTTCCAACTTTTTTTTTCAACACCCCTCAAAACCCCCATTCGAACACCCCGCCCAACCCCCACCCTACCCCCTCGCAACCCCCTATGACCCCATCCAACCCCCACAAGTATGGGGGTAAATGGGGGGCTCGGGAGGTCTACCTGCTAGCTTGCCTGCTTGTCGGATTACAAACATCACGGAAATATCTTGTCATCTGACATCCACGCTACAAACTACAACTCTTTGTTTAGAAAGAAAAAGATGCGGTTCCAATCGGCATATGGTTCTTCGCAAGGTCCGACCCACGAAAGTGCATTGGGGAGTATATCCGCTTCTCCGCTACATGCATATGGCACTTCGAATTATTATTCAAAGAGGTAAGGTAGAAAAAATAGACTATATGTAAAAAAATGGTTTAGAAGTCAGGGAGCTGATTCGCCAACCGCCTCTACTAATACCTATGAGACGACGAGCGCTTTGTAAGTTGTAATTCGGAATTTTTCGTTGGCTGTTTATCTGTCTTTCTTCTGGCTGCCAGATTGCCGTTTCTGAAATTTCCGAGCAAAAAGCAAAAAGTTTACCGCCGCCGGGGGTCGAACCCGGGTCGTCAGATTGGCACGCCGACACGCTATCCACTTGGCCACGAGACCGGCGCCAACTTTTTTCCGAAATAATTTTCTTTCTCGTGCTCACTATCTCTTCTCTTGCTACCCTCTCCATTTCCAGTTACTCCTCCCGTACCGGCACCGGCACCACTCCAACCCAATCTCGCACGACCCGTACGAGAAGCTCGACCCGGCCTACAGACTACACTCAATCTGAGACGTACTATGGTAGCCGAGATCCACCCCGGCAAAGAAGTCTCGTCAATTTGACCCCGAATCCATATGCTGATGGGGCTACGCAGTGCACTTCTTTCCAACCAGTCAAGGTAAGCGACGGTTAAGAGTTGCATCTTGTAGTCTAGCTGGCAAATTGCCTAAAAATCAGTCATCTGGTTAGCAACCTATAAAATCGATACCTTTAGAGCCGCTCAACCGCCCCATCGATGCACGACACTTCCTATACTACAGCTTCTTCGTCCGAGGCCACGACGCCATCGAGTTGTTCGACATGTCCGACCGGGGATCGAGATTCTACTCTAACCGAGGGGTCATGGTAGGTTTTATGGGGCAGCTGGAGTACAAACTACAAAATACGCCAAAATTGGCAAAATAGCGGGGGGTTTCGAAAAAACCGCATAACCTGTACCTATCCGACCGAATTTCGAGTTTCCACTTAAACAGAGGGGTCGTCGCACGTTCTATGGGCTTTCTGGGATCCAACTTACAAAATTCACGAAATCTAGGGAAAAATCGGCGTTTTCTGAATAAACTGCATAACCTGCATAACTCCGGAATTTCAGGAGCGAGGTGAGCGACGGGATGCAGAGACCACTGGTAGGGGACAGACAACCGATGGCCACCACGAGACATCGACCACCACCAAGGGTAGAAGAAGCCGGGCCTCGATTTACTCAAGCCCGGAATAGCCAGCGATATGCGAGGAATAGTCCGTTGATGTCCAGGTGGGTTATGCAGTTTTTTGCGAAATCGATATTTCTAGTCGATAAAATTAGTTTTAAGACAAGAATCGATAAACTGACAGACAATTTAGCAGTTGATATAGTTTTCGTGTTCGTTTTTTGAAAAGTGATTTTTAGTCGATAAAATTGGTTTTACATTTTTTGACGGTTTTTGAGTTGTTGAAAATCAGATGTTTTAGTTGATAAAAATCAGTTTTGAATTTTTTAAATATGAATTACACTGGCTGACAGTTTAACAATTTATATAATTTTCAGGTCGAATCCAGCCCTGTACAACCCGCTACCACAAATCCCGGCCATCCCCCCCAATCGAGACGACCCTTCCAAGCCATCGACCAGCACCAGCTAGACCCCTCGTTCCTCCAAGGACCAGCGTTGGCCAGAATCTGGGCACCGGCAGGTCACAGGGATACGGTATCCCTGTCACCCAAATGGGTCCTCCCACCCGGTCACTTGTCGATCTGCATGCCCCTCAAAGGAGAGATCCCCTTCCACAGGTTTCTACCAGCCCCCATCCTACCAAGAAGCATATCGTCGAGACTACTATGTAAGCTGACCCTAAAAGCATCAAGAAGTGCGTGGAAATTTGATTTTGAAACGTTTTTGGGTTATGCCGTTTTGATCCCTACTAACTGGCTGATGGAGGTCACGAAATTGCCATAATAATCTGTTTTGCGCTGAATATTGCGTTTTGCCGTTTTTCACAGTGTTCTAATTGTCGATATAAGGTTTCAAAATTGCCACCATAATTTTTTTCTCTATCGATTTTGAGTTATGCAGTTTTTATTACAACCGAAGCTGACCATTGAAGACACGTAAAATTCGATTTTCCGATATTTTGAAGTTATGCCGTTTTTGCAGGTTTTGCTGGCAATCAGTTTACTCAAAATTATCCTCAAATATTTACTGTAAATCTATTTAGCGTAATGCAGTTTGCAAACTTGCGAAACAAAAATCAAAAATAGTAAAACCCCAAATCGATTCCTGGCATTTTCGAGTTATGTCGCTTTTCACAAAAATTATTTTTCGCCCCGCTTGCCTCTGAAGCCTTTCTAAATTTTTCTATGACCTTTATTGTATGCCAATTTGAATTATTGATGTTTATAATGCCGTAATACTCGAGATTACCCTCCCCTCTCATCCCCATTGATATCTATAGCTATAGCGGGTACCCTACCACTCAAGTGATATCACACATTTCCCTCATTGCTCCTCACAACGCAATAATTCTCCAAATATCTTCGTGTTTTGTGCCAATTAGAGTTTTCGAATAAATATTTATACTATTAACATCCTTTATACAGCCCGTGTAATACCGGAAAGACATTTGGAAATTCGTAAAAAATACAGCAATATCGGATTATTCAGCTTTTAGCCGGGGCTCACTTTGAGAATTCAAATCGGCTACCGTATCCTTATTATTGTTATTATTATTGTTATTGACCAGGTCGTCAATCTTTTTACTGTCATCCAGTGTAGCAGTTTCTGTAAAAAAAACTAACTTTTGAATCAGTGAACTAAAAAATACCTTCAATTTCTTCTTCGACAGCCAATTCGTCCGTTTTCTCGAGTTTTACAGCTGGGAAACGATCCTAAAATTATAGTTTGCATTTCTCACAAGTTTATTTGGTAAACTGGGAGGCAATATGCAAATTAAACTCAGATGTATCTGAAATTAATGGACCCTACCTTCGCTTGGATCGTCAAAACGACGCCAATGATGAAAAATGCGGCCTGAGTGGAGAATGCCTCGTGGAGGGAGGGGAATAGACGCTGTTGCATTTGGAGGGAACGCACGAAGAAGATTACCTGGATTACAAAATTACATAAAAGGAAATAAAATAATATTATACAAAGGCTTTAGATCTATAGAGCAAATTTTTAGACAGAAAACTAGCAAAAATCTGGTGTTTTTGTCAAATAAAATTCTGTTATTATTTGAATTTTTAACGTATACCAGGGTTGAAAAGCCGCTTCGCGACTTTTCAACCCTGGCCCCGTCTTACCCTTTTACTTCATCACTTTGCATAAACACCCGAATTCCTGTGCAGAAAAATGAAAAGCGCGTCCTCCTCCGATTATACAGGCTTCCACCACTTCCGGTGCAGCAAATTGATTCCTAACCAAAGAGGCCGAGCGAGATTTTCACAAAAACTAAATTTTAATATCGAAAACAGCTGATTTTTAAAAATCTCATATGCGTGCAGTCGTGTCATGACCATTACGCACCTAATGACGTATCATACGTACCCTTAACTTCCTCTCCTATTGAGATACGACTGGAACATACGGACGGAAGTTGCATGCAAATGCACACACACACACACACACACAAACACTATTTTTTTATATATAGTAGGATACAGTGTGTGTCAAAAAGATAGGGACACCTTCTTTTTTGCGACTATCTCGACCCTCAGCTATTTTGAGCAGAAGTCAAATAGTGGTTTTTGTAGAGCTTGAAACGGAGCATTTTTTCATGTTGTTGAAATGTCTCCAAAATAAATGACGCCATTTTTATAAGCGAAAGAACAAAACAGAGCAAAAAACAGAAGTGTCAAAAAGATAGCGACACACTTTACATACAATTACCATCAACTTCGCGCTTGCAAATTACATGCTAATTGCTGATACGAAGTTTTTTGGCTATGCAGATTCCCGATTACTCCGAAAACCAGGAAGTCAAAAATGGGAAAGACTTTGAATCCTCATTAGCATGTAGTTGTGATATGTTGAAAATTTACCCACCAGTCCAACGGCACAGCTCAAATTCCATAGTTTCTTGACGCTTTGAGGTTTTGTATAAAACCCAGAGCAGCTGGAAATATCGATAAAAATAGAAGAAGAGAATAGGTCTTACAATAGCATCATGGCAACCGAAATCACCTTCAAAACGTCATGGAGTATCCGCTCGTATTCACCGACGGCGCGGAGCTGTTGGATTACTAAAAATAGGGTTTGATAAATGTAATGTGTAATTTTATAGTTGCCGCCCTTTTTTATTACCAGAAAGTAAAATACCTAACGGTCCAGCAGATATCTCAGCCATATTTGTGTCAACGGGGAGGTTTAGGCACCTACAAAACAAAAATCTAATTGATTACGCAATGAAATCCCGCACCAAACATATCCATGCATCCATAATGGACTGTAGAGGAAATCGTTAATTTGCCAGGATAGGAATACAGCCCATGTGAATCTATAAAAGGAGCAGGATAGCAGGGATTCTTGAGGAAAGAAGAGTTTTTCAGAAAACCCACCTGTGAAGTACCGCCAATATCTTTCGAAACTGGGCCTCGGTGGCCGAAATTTCGGCCGGATCTTCCGGAGGTAAGAATAGCATTTTTATTTGGTGTTTAAAGTCAGGGTATTGAAGCTGGAAGACAGAAAATAGGTAGAAAGAAAGAAAAGGGACTAGTAGACAGTCTGTGCGCGGATCGATCCTTCCAGGAAATGCAGCCAGCCGTGACCTCGTTTCTTTCCCCCCATAACCCAGAGACGGAGCTAGAGAGACTGACTGACTGTCGGACAGGCAATTAGCAAGTAGGTAGACGGGAGAAATGATGGATTGACGTGTTTTATATCCATAATGCAGATAAACATAAAATTTGAATACATTTGAAATATCGCGTTTTTCAAGAAAAATACCCGAAAAATTTTTGCAGAACTAAACAACCGAATTTTAATCGCAGCATACTGCCACATGTAAAAAACTAAATACCGTATTGAAAAAAGCCGAAATCTGCCAAAATCCAAGCCCTCATATCTTGGTTAGGTTATGCGGTTTATGCAGAAATCTCAGTTCTTTCTGAAAAATCGATCGCTGCGATCTGTTAGGGACTCTGAAATATTAAAGGGATCAGGAAGGCCCAGGAAAAACCAGCATAAAATGAGCTTTATTTCTAAAATCAGCATAAATCTTCTCTGCTCCCTGCTTGCTCGCCCCGAACTCTGCCGATTTTTTGATTAGCATTTCCGGTAGGCTTGTTGCCAATTCTAGATCGGCCTTGATCTACTGGGCTCTTCTCTTTAAGCTGATTGCGCCGTGTCGTGCAAAATCTTTGGTGGAATTATGCAGTTTTCACAATAATCCAAGTATCGCACTTTATCAATTCCTAAGTGCCTGCATTCTGTGTTGCACCCAGTTCGCAATAATTTATGCGTACGCGTCCACTCTTTGGTGTTATATATACATCGAATACTATCTTCAAGTAGCGGTATCCCGTAGTATCTAGTTGATGTAGATCCAGTCGGCGTTTCCGGGGAGCTTGATCTGGCCGATGGTCTTGCCTCCACCATTCAAAGAGATCCCGACTTGCCAGTTGCCCTGAAAATCGGAAATTAAAAATGATAAATAGCCAAGAAAACACCTAAAACTATAGTATATCCCTTTGCAGACGGATCTTTGTACTTTCAGCCGATTGACCGGAATAAAGATAAGGGTTTATGGTTTTACGGTTTTCAGGGGCAGGGGCTGAGTTCTAATTTTCGGTTAAAATGTCTGATAAGAGCTGGGAGTTGCCAATGGACGGGGCTGTGTTAGGGTGTGTCCCAGAATTTTATGCGATCTGGACAGAAATGAGAAGAAAAAATCCAGTTGGAAGCAAACAATTTAGAGAACTTCATCAACAAAAACTTGGGTTTTCAAAGTTTTCACCTTTGGAGATTTTAAATTAAATTAAAGTATTCATTTACACTAGTCTTTCGATAAATTTTTAGGCGGAAAGCATGGTTTTAAAAGTTCCTGACTCATAAAAAGTTTAGATTGCATTAACATATCTATTTGGTCAATTTTCTCGCCAATTTAATCACCAGAAAGCAAATTTTTAAAAGCCCAAATCTATAAAACGACGAAATTGGGTTTCATACCTCTAGCAATTATCTTTCTGCGAAAACCTGATATCGCAGCATTTTGCGATAATCTGACAGCCAGAAAGCCTATACCAACCTTAAGAATGGAGTTGATAGCTCCATTGATGTTGGGGAGAGTGATGGTGGAAGTGATGTTGAGATCCTTTTCAATCGTGGCCAAATCATAGGTTCCAGGGGTTCCCATCAGCTTGCAAAGATCAGCGCCCAGCAGGCTGCACACATCGGTGATCTTGCTGGAAAATGGCGGAAATTCAAGTAAATTTGCAATCGAAAACTAACTCCGAAAGAGAAAATTAAAGCAAAAAAAAACTGTAAAACCCACCAATCCTTGTCGGGGAGGATAGGGTTCTTGCTCTTGCCATTATCGCAGACAGTTCCGACCAGAAGGGAGTCCTTCTTCAGGGAGAGCTACAAAAGAAAAGATTATATTATTTGAAAGATACTTACATCCGCCTCATCTTGAGTCAAATCGTTGGCAGCAGTGACCTTGATGTCTCCTGAAAAACACAAATAAATTATTTTCGCTTAAAACAAGCAATCAAATGTTATGCCGTTTCTAAATCTACTAAATTGTCAAAAAACTGGATAACTTAAACTAGTCTAACCTCTACTATTTTGTATTTCTATAGTCTCGTAAGTTATGCAGTGTTTAGAATTTTCAAAAATTGCCTATTTTTAGGTTTTAGTATTTTATTGTGTTTATTGGAGACCAGTTAACGAAACAAGGAAATAAAATAGTTTAAATTGATAGCTTTAAAAAGTTAAACTAACCCGAAACAAGCTTGATGACGCCGGGGAGGTTGAGGGACGGGGCATTCTTCTCGCACACTGGCTGCATGTTGGCATCATAGGTCTGGACGACAACGTTTTCGAAGTGGATCGAGAGGCTGGCTTGAAACAAAATATTTTAAAGAATAGGTAAGTAATCCGCACCATCATTAACATTGGCCAGTGTGAAAGCATTTTCCTTTCCATCAGTGCACGCGGCCGAGATGGCCGTTGCGACGACGGCAAGCAGGGATACGTAGCGAAGCATCCTGGAAATGGAAAGAAGATTAAATTTGGAGAAATTGACAGCCAATTCAAATACAAATCTATACATCAAACTTTAAAATTGGTGTTAGTCAGGAAAAGCTAGAAATACAAAACACAACCATGCCTCGCATCGTTAAAAAGTTATACGCTTTCTAGTACCCGAAAAACAGTCGGATTTAGTTTTTATGTGTTCACAGTACTATCGCTGCCCTTTTCCGGAGTTTTTCAGTGGTAATAACCCTATCTAACCTTTTCAATAACCATCTCGACTTAGATTCCTCAGTTTTTATGAAAAAAAATCTCTAAGACACGATTTTTTCAATTTTTCCCGTGAAATATCAAATTTCCTAGTAAAAATGGCTAAACTGACGGCCGTACTGTCCTGGAAAGTGAACGTCCCGACCGGAAAAAAGATAGGGACTCCTCTCTGTCCTGTATTAATATATACTAGAAGCCTTGTGCTTATCTGTCCCCCTATCACCGCGTGCCGATGGGACGTCAAGGGGAAAAGCCGGAATGCGGATTGCGGGTCCAAGAAATTGGGAAGGGAACAGGATTCGAGGCTAGCTGTATAACACACTGTTTATCGGAAGTGGTCTTCGGACTTTTTGGGGGCTGCTCTTCCGGCTTGAATCTAGGGCGGTTGCAAGGCGTTTTGAAAAACTGCATCAATTGGAAGTGGCCAGTTTTTTATGTAAAAAAACAACTTGTGAAACGTTTAATTCAAAGTCATTTTCGCTAAATATAACAGGAAAAAGCTAAAAAAAGTGCTTTGAAAGGAAACCGGATGGACTTTAAAGACTTTAATTTGCTCTGTAAATAATCTGCAAAGTCACCTCTTTAGTTGTTGTCGTGTTTCAAAATCATAACTGAGCGCAGACATATCTCTTTATTAATTCCATTCCTGCTTGGTAACGGAATTGTAAACTGTCACAAACTATGACGTAATTGTAATGTTAGAAAAGTTGAATGCTTCCTTTTTACCCCCTGTGATTCTACGTGTACTGTAATCAGCAAATCGCATAGTTTCTGAGTGTCGCCATTGTTTATCGAAAATGATCAAGTGATTCACTCCAAGCATCTGAAAGTTCTCTCGATTGACCTAGAGTGACAGCGCCTCGATTCATTCCCGGAGATTGCTGCAAGAATCGGTTGTGCGTCTGCCTCGTCGTATGAACTCCATTCCTAAAGCAAAACGATTAACTTGAGTTTCAGATTTTCAAGCTCACATAATTCGTTGCCAAAACTTGTGGCGGGCGCGGCCGGATGGACTCGTATAGCCTACAAAACATATCTTAGCATATCGCTATTGGGACTCACGATTGGCCTCCGGTCTATCTGCTTTTTGTATGGCAAGAAGCATCGGCAATAACTCGACGAGCTGTACGGGCACAAATCGTACAAATGTTGCGCCGTCTCCAAAGGATAGGCCCAATTGGCCCATTGGCAGCAGTTTCATCTCATCACCAATGTACGTTCCACGGCCCGTAGCCGGATGATATTGGAATAACAGGGCATTTGAGCCATCCTCCATCTCGACCAACGCAAAGTAATGCACCCATGGGCGTTGTTTGGCCTCGATTTCGCGGATTAATTTGGCGATTAGGGCGTAGAGACAATCATTCCAAATGTCTGGCCGGGTGATGCATTTTAGGGCTCTCGTCATCAACGTGTAATCTTCAAGGTAATCAATTTGATCCGGGCTCGAGCATTGGTGATAATGATTTTGGAATTGACCTTCGACGCCTTGTGGGAATCCGCCGGCATTTCTGCACCGTCCATCACGGCATTGATGATGTTTTGGAGGGTAACCATAGACAAAAAAATATCCCGGAAATGGAAGCATGTCCAATTCTTTCAATAATTGCTTGCCGGTATTTTCAATAATATTCGCATCAAAGGCATTCAGCAGCATCGCAAAAATGTCACTCACAAAACTACCCTCTCCTTTCTCAATGTCAACCCGATATTTGCGTATTTTCTTTTGAAAAGCAGTCCTCGCGTCGATTAATGCTCTTCGGATCTGTTCGTTATTCAACGGCTCGTTCTGGTCATCAGTGTCATTGTAAAAGTTTTGGAATGGCCGCGTTTCAGTGCAGTCATAGCGAAGCAAAACCTGTAGACGCCCCAAAACTAGCCACGAATGCCGGGATCCCTCCAAATTGACGACCGGATAGAAGGCCCTGATTGTGAAGGTTTTCCGCAATTCTTCAATGTCATGTATCGCCTGGTCGAGCAGTTGTAGGATATCGACGTGCGAAAGGGTTGCTTGATCCGTTTCGCTCAGAATATCAATCCCAAAGTCCTGCCAATCGTATTGTTGACGCACATCCCTCATGATCAGCACCCGAAACCTTTCAAGGGTGGCAGATACTAGGTTCGGTAAATTTTGTTCGATCATATAATGTTCTGGCCGAAGCACACAATCAGCGTCTTCCAACAACTGCGGTGCTTCGACCTTAAAAAAGTGCTCCATCTTGTCAGCACATTCATATTGATCCTCGATCGACAGATTGGACAATATTTCGAGAATTTCATCGCACAGTTCTTTTCTGGTTTTTTTGCAGTGTTGATGGTGTATGCCTTGACAGTCAAAAAATCCATGTGGCTGCTTGCAAAGGCCATCCACCACTTGAACAACATTGCCTTTGAACTGAACGGGAAGTGCTAACTTCTCTTTGAACTCGATCAGCAATCTTTCTCGAGGATCAGAAATTGGCCTGGGTTGTTCCTCAACTGCTTCCACAGTCCCAAAGTCACAAAAAGAGTTGATCAGGGTTGGTGGTCGAAGTGAACGCTTATTCTCGTCATCGTATCCAATAGGTGCTTCCAGCCACTGACGATTTTGGTTGGGATCTGGCTTTGCGTGTAGCTTCTCGAAATCCTGCAGTTGCATGATCACGCTATATTATATTTGCATGCCATACCATCTTTATTGTATTACATAGTACTATCGCTTGTGTCACACCAAATCGGTCTACTACAAGTTGTTTTGTGCATCTAAAAAGATTGCGACATTACTGCCAACTGCCCTACTTGATAACAAGCCACTTCAAGTTTTTTAAATGCGCCATCCCCTCATTCAATACCCCATCAACGTCTTGACTGCCCGGATTTCTAGGTTCGATAATTGATTGGCTATTCTGCCTTCGAGTGATACCCCCTATTAACCATATCCAAACATGTCCATCCAGCGCCATAAATATCACATTTATACACATCCTAAACTGCCTATAAACTTCCTCACCAGTCCTAACTTAACTCTCCCTTCACTTCAATGCCATTCAATACTTCCGGTGCCATGTATCCGTAAGTACCGCCTCGTAGGTTTGAACTCGTCTTTAAATCCCGGACAATCCCGAAATCTCCCAATTTCAGGGTATAATCATGGCCATGGACGAATAAACTAAATTAATTCATCCCGGAGTCCATCAGGCGTTCAAACTTGTCCGGTTTGACATCATGATGAACCTTTTTCATACTTTTGATATAGTCAAGGGCGTTGAACAGCTCGGAACACCATTTGGCTACGGTGGCCATTGAGTAAACCAAATTCTTGTCAGCCAGAACTGAACAAATGGTAAGAATGACAGGCCGTTTATGCAATATATAATAGTACCATCTCGTAATGATCCATGTTCACAATATTCCATAAACATCAACCATTCATCCCGATTTATCCCTGGATAATTGTTTGGTTGGTCATAATATCGGACAACATTCTCGTGCGACAATTCCTGAATCGAAGTATTAATAACAGGCAATATATTTTGATAGCAACAACATACCATCAACGTTCGTATCTCTCTCAAATAGCTGGCATAATCATTTGTCTGCAGCACCTTTTTCATGACCATTGGCCTGAGAAGCTAAGGTTAATAAATATTTTAAAGGGGCAATGCTTTTTGACAATTGGCATGTAGCCAACCGAGTAAAGATCGACGATAGAGCACGCCTAATGCAGAGATGCCGAGCGGCCGGCTACATGCCAACTGTCTCAGCCCATTTAAGGTATAACATACGGATCGGTGTCGGGCAGAAGACATACAACCCCTTGGCCACCTTGCCCAAGCACTCTCATCATCCTTAACCTGTAACATTTGGATTGTATATTTGTCTTTGCAACAAGAAGGAAACATGCCTGGCCGCGGAAAAAGATAACGGAAAGGTGGGCAGGGCTGCTGAACAGATTTCAGTATCGATTCGTCAGAGTTGGGTTATATTTCGGAAAATCAGATTCCCGAAAATCCGAATCTCAAAAAATAGGAATCCCTAACTCTTACTTTTAATTTTCCATTGTTGTTGAAAATTTGCCAATGTGAAGTGTTTTGCAAAAAAAAATCTTGATCTCCGGGGAGGTTTTTCAGCGGAATGGGCAAAAGGCAAGGTCGTGAAGTGAAATTTGGCCGTTGACTAGTCATCCAGCCTATCCGATTTGGTTTTTCCCGCCGATTCCGAATATGTTGCCAGTTTTTGACTAGTGGCTGTATTTAAAAACTAATTGCGTTCCATTTATTACATTAATTAAGAATACATGCGTATTATTTTCGTTTCACGATCTAAATCAATATAAGTTATAGTTGAATAGAATGGCGTTCGTTGCCACCCTATAGCAAAGCGGTTGCTCCCTTTTCTCTAGAGCTCCGACTTGGTTCATGCAATGAATTCAATTTCTTGTTAAAGGGACACCCAAGGTTTTGGCGGCAAATATATAGTTATGTATTCCGGCAAGTACAAATGACGCGCGAATTTTGTGCGCCAATGGGCGCCCATTGTCGCACAGAATTCGGACACCTTTCCCTCTTGTGGCGTCCCCATCCCCCTCAGTGGCTTGCCACTATGGCCTAATGGATAGCATCCAGGCCTACAAAACGGTGGTCCCGGGTTCGACCCCCGCCAGCGGAATGGTTTTTGCTTTTTGAGCCTCAATAAGCAAAAACCATCACGCGGGCGGGGGTCGAACCAGGGACCGGAATCCATAAGTATATATCAGGTTGGAAAGAAAGTAATGGCACAAAATCTTTAAACCGCTGTAAAAACCCGCAGGAACGTCCGATTTGAAAGTTTGATATATGGTTTGGTAGATCTTCGGATGCTCTATCACAAGACGACCTTCAAAACACCCACAAACTAATGTACGCGAAAATACAGGCCTCAGAAGTTTCACGGAAAATTAGGTGAAAGCTTCTATGCGAGATATCTCTGCATACAGGCATTTGCATACGATACCTCTACCACCAATCGATAGCCCTCGAGGAGTAGATATCGATAGATGTTGAGATCATCAAAATCGGACACTGGATGACCAAGATATGGCCCCCAAAATTCGCCTGGTCCACCTTCTAGCCAACTTTTCCCGACGAACCCCAAACATTTTAGGCCTGCGCGCACCAAAACCGTGTTGGCTTTCCAGAAAAAACCGAAAAGTGGACCAAAATTTTAAGGCCCATATCTCGGTCATCCAGTGTCCGATTTTGATGATCTCAACATCTATCGATATCTACTCCTCGAGGGCTATCGATTCGTGTTAAAAGTATCGTATGCAAATGCCTGTATGCAGAGATATCTCGCTTAGAAGCTGTCACCTAATTTTCCGTGAAACTTCTGAGGCCTGTATTGTCGCGTAAATTAGTTTTTGGGTGTTTTGAGGGTCATCACGTGATAGAGCATCCGAAGATCTACCAAACCATATATCAAACTTTCAAATCGGACGTTCCTGCGGGATTTTACAGCGGTTTAAAGATTTTGTGCCATTACTTTCTTTCCAACCTGATATTTTCCGCCAAAACCTTGGGTATCCCTTTAAATAAATAACAAGTTGTCAGACTCGGAAGCTGAATAAACGGATTTGCTGTAGCGCTTTGGAAGCATGCGAGCATGCAACCGGATAAATAATTTTATTCAATGCTTTGAATACGGAAACATATTGGTGATTGTGGAAATGTGAAACTGGTGGAGCCGACAGATCGAACGACAGAAATTCTTGTTTAGCTGCAATCGCATCACTTGGATCCGGGTACCTAAAAGCGAAGTATTTCGGAAAGTCTTCACAACTCGGGATACACCATTATATGGCTGAAGCCATCATCATTCAAAAACTCTTCATCTTTATTCCCTTTCTACTCGATACGGTCCTTTTAGTGGCCAAAATACCCGGGCTTGATAAAACGCACGTTCGCCCATGATAGCGGAGGAGCCATTTTTTTTTGGTAATCACATTGTGTTGCCGAGGCAAAATCATCCAAAAAACGTTTTTTAAAGCATGGACTGAAACGTCAAAACGCTCTGCCAAAATTTGGATCGTTTGGAAAAATGGTGGCCTTCTGGCCTGTGGTCTGTCAAAAATTACTAAAACTGGCTAAAACCTTCAAATATCGTTAGGATGGGTTTTTATAATCAAATCGTCAAAAATCACGAATAATTTAAATTAGGGAAACGTCGTTA